ATTTAATTTAATTCAGCAGACATCTTACATATTGCTCCCCTTGAGAAAAATGTGTTGTAATGGAACAATATATGTTTAACACACACAAATTTCTGCTTACACAGTGGAGAAATACTTAAGCATAAGTAACACATCTGGGTGCGAGGACATTTGTACGACACCCTGTCTGAAAGAACAGCACACGAACATAACTGTAATGAAGCTAGTCTCTAGGCAGATTAAGACACATCGACACGTATCAACCAATGAGAGTGCCCTGCTTTGCGAAGTCTGGTATAAATGTCTTGATGTAACTGCTCCCAAGCGGGATTCTGCTATGCACTCGTGACGATAGTCACCTCTGTATGAGTTTCCTCCTTTTTGCAAAAAGAAACCCTTTATACTCGAGCAATAAAATACACAAAGACAAAAGGCTTTGACTTGAGATCTTTATTGTTGACAGAAAAATCCACGACAGTGTTTTCCTGAAGAAATGCTGTGTTGTAAAAAGTGCATTTGTAAAAGGTTTGTCAAAAATTGGTTCAGTTTATGATGATGACTTTCATATAATTAATTCAGTAAATGAATAGCTATGTTGGATATACTTTATGGCACCAGAGCCAGCTAAATAATTTCTAGACTAATATATAATCTGCTTTTGGAGTTAAACAAAAAGTTAATGAAATATGGATTAATAAAAACTCTCATAGCTCAATGAAGACTTTGTTTCCATCCCCTCTCAGTACCTGCACTTGCCAAGACTAGGAGCAGCAAAAAACAATTTCTTAGAGCTTGACAGAAATATTAACACCTGGACAGTCCTCAAAAGAACTTACACTGTGGCTAATATATGAATGCACATAACACATAGGCCCGTTGTAGGTACCAGATGTGCTCGGGTGTTCAGATCGACTCGGGGTCCTGCGCCTGCTAGTGACGTCATACAATATGAAGATTTATTCGCTATATCAGGACACAGAACTTCACTTCCCACGATCATAGAGTGTTTCTGATTGGTTGAGCTTGCTGTTACCATGACAATGTTCCCGCCCCTTGGCGCTGTATGCGAAAAGATTAGTCCCGCTAGCTGGTTAGTTAGCTAACACGAAAAGTACTAGCCTAATAACCTTGTCATGCAGCAGTGAATGTAGTTTATATTTTCCACAACACATACTACAAGATAGTACAACACTTGTATTAGCGGTATAAAACTATAACAACGACAAAAGTTACTTTTATGAAGACACGATATAATTTGCAATGGATTGTGGGATGGGTAGTTCCTTGACTGAAAAATCATGTACACAGTCTTGTACCTTTGTCTTTTTTCTGTTTTTTAAAGCTGTTTTGGTGCCGAATTAAATGTCCTATTGTCAGTGGGCGGTCACTGTTGAGCTCAAAGACCCACAAAACCGTGAAAACTATAAACTCTTTGATCATATTTTGTGACTTCACTAGCAGGCGCAGGACCTCGAGTCAATCTGAACACCCGAGCACATCTGATACCTACACCGTATCCTCAACTGAATCTGAGATTTCTTCCAGAAGGAATAGTCATCTTGAAAATTTCTGGCAGCAAACAGAATGTCTGTGTCCATATGACTTGGCTGCAGCAGCCGTCTCACCGCTATATTGTGGCTCATAGAGATAGCCATGAACATCTGATTCGAGCACCTCGAGACCTTCACAATCCCCTTCATCCATATCAGTTTAAAGTTCGCCATTGTCGGTTCTTCTCAGCTTTCTCCACAGAGCCTGTTAGCATAGCTTCCAAGTAATATGGCGGACGTTAACTTTCGATTCTGGGAGTGAGGTCCCACCCACTGATCTGTGATTGGTCTGTAGCTTCAGTGGTCGAAAGTATGAGGAACTAGCGATGTAGTTTCACCACCGCTAACCACAACAGCTTCCAATGACGCAAAATGAAAATTTTTGCGTCATCGGAAGCTCCTTTTCAGACTTAGAAATACAAAGATTTCCCGTCTCAGGGGAAAATGATGGCGGGATCGAAGACCATTCAAAAATACTACCAAGTTTCTAATGATACAAAGCAAAGAGTTAATAAGGAAAATATTCGCCTCTTAAATCCAAGAGGCATCACATTAAAACTCACTAAATAACCTCCTTGGGTTGAACCTTTCGCCTTTATACCTTTTTATCTGGGAAAGAGCATTGTTGCATGTTATGCATTATTAATAAAGGCAGCCCAGCCTTTGTCCTCATGATGAAGTGCAGACTGAGTGTGTGTGGGAGTTAGCAAGGGTTACAAAAATAATTGAATCACAAATCTAGGATCACTGTGTTAATTCAAGGCTGATTATATGTTAAACAACAGCTTTATTATGCATTACATTGCACTCATTCAAATATTCATTCACTCAACAGTGTGTGGGTTGCCTCTATAAGCTGCTTGCAATCTGAAATATTGTCAAACTGAATGTGAAAGCCTCTTTAAATGTGATACATGGTCTACAAGTGGCTATTTCCCAACATCATCAAGCTGTCAGAAGCTGGGTGGGAGCTGGCACTGGAGCTCGAGCATCACTGTCAAGGACACTATTATTTCATCGACACTTCAAAGCATAACATCGCCATTGCAACCTTCAATCTCCTTTTACCAGTTTAACACATTACCTTACTTCTGATGTGATTAGAAGTTGCTTTGGGGGTAACAGTAAGGACAGAGCTGAAAGGAGAATGTGTTTTATCTGTTTTTTTTGTAGAAGACGAAATAATTTCAAGGATATTTTTTCCCAGCAAAGACATGGAAGGTGTGTTTGTGCAGACAAGGGTGTAATTTGCTCAAGTCTACCTCTTATTGAGGGAAAGGGGTCTGAGGACACAGAGCAAAAAAACACACTCCAACAGGATATGGCTTGTTGTTAAAAGTATGCTTGGGTATTGGAAATCCTGCTCCTGAGTGCAAGAGGCTGGGATTGTTTGTGTGTGTATAGAGGGGATTACAAATGGTTTAAAATCTTGACACTTTTTAGACAGTTGCAGCCTCTTGCAAGGAAAACGTGATTGTATTACATAGGGTGCGTCAAACTCGACACAAAGTTTTAAGGAGCTTGACAAACTCAAACTATACACAAAAATACAGATACACACACACACACACACACACACGGGCAATCACTCAGTGTGGGGTCACAGAGATAGTGGAAGAGTATTATAAATATAGCGCTGGGAGCAGCACAGACTCTGGCCCTGGTAATATCACCTGCATGTCAGTGTGCGCACACACACTCGTATGGACAAACACACACATCCCCACCTCAGAACCTGATGGAGTGTGAAGCTCTGAGCACAGTTCAGAATGCCAATGTAGCTCTCTATTAAGGTCGGGAATAATTCATGTGAAGAGTCTTTGGGGCTTTTGCTGGCGGATCATTCAATCGGAGCTCACCTTTTTCTACTTTGAAAACCTAGTGGTAACAACAACATGAATTTATGGTTGAAAAAAAGTGTAAAACTAATGCAACACTTCTGCAATACATTCTTTCTTTGAAGCATTCATACGTACATGAATAATACATAAACTGTATTTTGTATACAGGGGGCATGTTGTGACCACTTCTGTACACATGCTTCTTGTTGTGCGGAAGTGAGTATTTTTCTAAGTCTGCGTGTGACTTCATTTATGTATCGGTTTATTTGTTTTCATGATTTCCTTCAAAATCCCATTAAAGAACGGACTCTGCTGTACTGGCAACCAAGATGGGTGCATTTGAATAACTGGATAACTGAAAGAAGAACAGCCAGTCTAGATAACACTTCCCTCAGGTCCTGTAGCCTACGTGTTTGAAACGATAACAATTTATACTATCAATGACACTGTAACATCTATACTGTATATCAAAAGTAAGCTTTGAGTTAAAGACCAAAGTTTTTCACTTTTTAACAAAAAGGGGGCTTTTTGTGCTTTAATGGAGAGAAAGGACTATGGTTAGAGTTTGAAATCAGGGAGCGTGAGAGGGGGAATGACATGTAGTAAAGGAGCCACGGGTCTGATTGGAACGCCAATTCAAGATGCTTTATACAGCTTGAGGACAGTTTACATGTCTAAGCTAATTGTGTGCGTTTGCTTTACTACAGACTGTGCTGAAGGTTTTTAGGGTTAGGGTTTATTTATCTCTTGCTGCTTGGTCTTTTAGCTGATTTTTAGCCACATCAGTTATGTGGCTCTTTTAGACTTTGGTAATTCTCAGACTTGGCCTCAATCACAGTGTTACAGGGCTACACAACCCCACAGCTAAATGCTGTCCTAGTGCCTAACGAGCCCGTAACTTAATGCCTCTCCTTACCTGTTGCATAAGCGTGAAGGTAAATCCTGCCTTTCCTGAAAGTGTGTGTAACTGTCCTGTCTGTTTGAGGGGTGCGCCCGATCCACGGAGTCACTTGGAGTACGATCTCCTCAGCCAGCCCTTTCTTTCATATCAGTTTAGTTCATGTGTAAAAAGAACCCGTGAAGTGTTGACACAAAAACAGACGTTACTTCAGATTCAGTCTCTCAGGTGTCTTGCGTCCTCGCGTCTCCCTCGTGGTGTCTCTTCAACTCAAAAACACTTTTTTCCGCCGGCTCCTCCGCAGGTGCTGCTAATGAAGGTTACAGAGACAGTAATTTCACGTCATAAACTTGACATGAAATGCTTTTTGTGATCCCTCCATTTTCAGTGTAATTCAACAATCAAGTCAAATTTTTTATTCAACCATAATTTAGATTATTTACTCAATATCTGCTAAACTATTGCTAATCGTGGAGATTACCTAAATACCTATTTTTGATTGTTAGCATGCTAACATATTTAACAAATATTTTGAACAGGATCAAATGTATACCTGCCAAAAATAAGTCTGTTCGCTGTTTTGTTTCGAGAGAGTAAGCAAGACCTATTCCAAAGAGATGTTTAATAAGACTCTACTCTGGATATGGTTAACTGTTCCGCACACCACAACCTGTCTTGAATATTTCCTGAATGAAACTACAAATACCAACCTTTGACCTTTCATCTCTCTAGCATCTGAAGATGCACTGCAGGACGTGTGCCCTGGTGACCAGCTCCGGCCAGCTTACAGGGAACAAGAGAGGAGAAGAAATTGACCGCTCTGAGTGTGTAATCCGTATGAACGATGCCCCCAACATTGGCTATCAGCAGGATGTTGGCCGAATCACAAGCCTGCGTGTCATAGCTCACGCGAGCCTGCAGAGGGTGCTGCGGAGCCGACAGCAGCTACTAAACGTGAGCCAAGACACGGTGTTCATCTTCTGGGGACCCAGCAACTGCATGAGACGGGACGGGAAAGGACACGTTTACAACAACCTCAGGCTGTTAAACCAGCTGCTGCCCAAACTTAAAATCTTTACCATTTCAAGGATCAGAATGCTGAAGTTTGATGAACTTTTTAAAAAGGAAACTGGGATGGATAGGTAAGTGTCCCCAGAATCATAACACTTGTGAGATTTATATTGGAGTGGTCCAACTGAGAGAAACCAAATCTATGCATGTTTAAAAATGTAAGACAGAAGGGAGAGGAAAACCATTCAGCTTATGATTCTCGCTTACAAAAGAAATGTCAGAGCGCTAAACACTGGAGGATTTATTTACAGGATTTACATACAAACTTTAGGGATTAGATTAATCCTAAAATCACAGTTTTGCCACTAATATTAGGCCTGGAAAAGTCTTGCAACATATCTTCTGTTGTAGCTCTTCCATGCAGTAAGAGATTTGCTGAAGTGGCTAAACATGAGAGAAACACATTTCACTTCTGTGGGATTTAGATTTTACAAGAAGCATTCTGTTCCCTTAGTCATTACCAACAAAAAACAATTTAGTTTAGTGAGTTAATTTTCTACTTCTGAGGGGGAGCTGGCATACTCTTTACACAAAGTGACATGCAAACCATGACTTAGTTGCCGTGATGATGGAGAGTGGCCGCATGTAGAGTCATAACAAACCAATCTGACACTGTTCTTTTCATCTTACTGTGGAGAATGATGTCATAGAGAGGTGGTTTTGTATTTCACATTTTCAGAGGCCAAGGTGTTGAGCTTGGTTTGGAAAAAATAGAAAACCTTTCATGAATGCAAAGCAAATGGGCATATAAAGAGGATGAGACAACCCTACACAGCACACACATTTCTTTCTTTTATACTTAAAAATGAAAAGAACACATCACTCATGTCTCTTTTCATACGTGGTGATTGTACCTGTCCTGTAGAAAACTGGTTGGATGAATAAGGGCTTTCAAAATGAAGACAATACAACATTTATCTATGTCACTTCATCTTTTCATAAACTCATTTGCATGTGAACAGCTAGCCCACAGGAAGATAAGATGACATTGCATTTGAATAGAAAATTCAATCACTTCAGCCTCCATGTAACAGAATAAATGACTCATTAATAACTTCCTTTTTGTTGTGTACAAAGCAAAGAAACAAAGAGACTTTCATCTTTCTGGATTTTTCCCTGAAAAGTAAAATCGAAAACTATTGGTTCACAGTATGAAACTGGTCCCAGCTAACAGACTTACACTATATTGAGAATGGGTCTTCCAATGAAGGTGGTCTTTTCCTTTCTTGCAGGAAGAGTTCCAACTCCTGGCTGAGTACGGGCTGGTTCACCATGGCCATCGCTCTGGAGCTGTGCGACAGGATTAACGTGTACGGCATGGTGCCTCCTGATTACTGCAGGTAGGCACACATTTTTTATATTCATGATTTAGACTCTTAACAATTTTCACTTTGCATACCCAGAGGAAGATAGAAACACCAAATAACCATAGTACATTCTTTTTAATGTCACTCTGTCTGTTGGGATGTATTACAGTTTTGTTAATTTATTGAGGTTTATGAACAAAGCGTTCCACTTTATCTCAAATGATAACTTTAATTTATTTCAAAAAAGTTTGGGGCCACTTGCATTGCCAGTGAACATATCACCAACCCTTCAATTCACTTGTTAGCTTAGTAGCTTTTATACCAATGTACTATTTGTATATGTTTACGGCAGAGCCTCAACTGTCATCATCAAAAGTAAAAAACAAATAATGATTAAATAAAATAAATATATATTTTTTCTACTGATCTGTGTTATAAATGTTATTTCTGTACGATTCCAAAAATTTCAATAATTTTCATGATCAAAATCGCTGAATTCGCATATTTCTGGCCGGCTCCGCCAGAGACATGCGAGGTGTGGTAGCGACAAGTTGTGCCTCATCCCAGATTGCGCAATCCCTCACAAACTGGGTCGAGCGTATGCCTTTTGCTTTCTTACTGTTTGTCACCAATGTAATGTTTGTAGACACTTTTATTATACGTCCTCACTTTCCATAGAATAAGTAATGTAGTTCACGTGTGTTTATAACATATTTAGTCTTTCTAATTTCACATAAAACCGCACTGAAAAAGCATGAGGTGAGGCAGCCACTACCTCTGCCTCAACTGAAGGGGGTGTGAGGCTCATAAGGCCAAGAGTTAATGCTTGGTTTGATGTTGCTCTTCTTCTATGCAGAATTTTTATTTGAAAATTTCGCTCTGATTGCAAAAATGGAAGCGGAAGATTTTATATCTAAGCTTAAAGATTTCTCAAAACTGGACTTTCAATCAAAACATGAAGTGATTAATAATGGAAAACTTTTCAAACTAAAAGAAGATAATGAGTACTTGTACAACAAAGTCACGGATATTTTAGTCCAGAAGGATAGGCGAATGGACTTAATTTACAAGTAAAGGTAAGACCATGAATACACCGCAGTATATATAGGCCTACTTTTATTTTTATAGAATCAGTATGAATTGTGGAATTGCAATCGAAAAAAAACTCTTGAGGCGCTATAAATTTAACGTTCTTCCTTGGCCAAATATGCACCTTACCTCTATGTGTGTGTAAATAATGCTGATATGAGATATGAAACACAACCAGTAGTCAATGTGCAAGCTGCCAATTGAAAAGTGAGTTTAAGCTACTCTATAAATGGGTTCAGATATTTGTAAATCTGACTCTGAAAAAGTCAGTGCCTCACCAGCCAGGTACCTCACCGCACGTCACTGGTGTACAGTTCCGGCATTTACTTCCATTTTATGTCTCTGCCACTTCCTAAGCAAAGCATCAGTCTCTTTAACACTTTAAATCAAATAACAGGTATGTGTTTAGAGAAGGAAAGTTAGACTGAACTCAAACAGCAACATTGTCACCGTGAAGCCAAAGTAATGAGCTGAAAGACACCATAATTCTTGTAAATTCAGTGTACCTTTCTTTATTATCAGTTTCCTAGCAACACTGTTCAGAAGACTTAAACCATGTGTGTGTCAATAATAATGTGTCCTTGACTTTCTGGTCAAAAATACTGCTGCAGGTTTTAATACAATAAAAAATCCACCTTATTGATAATCTCACCATCACTTTCATGTACTATTGTGTTTAAAGAAATGGCTTAAAATAAAGACTTAACATATTTCTAATCAGATAGCATCATATTTACTCTTGTAGAATAGCAGCAGGAAAACACCTTAAATGTTGAAATGTTTTTGCAGCTCTATTCTATGATTTACTGCATGCTGAGAACATGAATTAGTTTGTACAAAAAAATATTTTGTAGTGTGTTTTGAAAGATGTCTTCCTCTTGTAATGGCCCTGAATAAAAGGCCTCGCTGAACAGGCCAGGGTGGGAACTCTTGGCTGTTGTCTAACTCTGTTTGTGTTTTGCTCTGTGTTTAGTGTATGTATGTTATTTGGTGGGAATTGTCTGTTATGACACTAACGGCTCTGTGAAAAATAATTTCCCCATGGGGACAATAAAGTCTAATGTCTATGTTATATTTACTCCCTGCAGTGAGTTCTTTAATTTCCTGCTATCAGGCTGATGAATTGGTATTTTTAGCTAGTGCCAGTAAAGATATTTTGCATTAAAATATCCTTTAAAAAAACAGATTTCACTGCAAAGGTTGAAAATATAATTAAAATGTTATGAATAATCAGAGGAAAAATGTTGTTCTCACATTAATCTACAAGGGCATAAAGGACGGTCTGACACATTTGAATATTCATAGAGGAAAGCAGTGCAGGGATTGATGTGACTCTTATTTGGCTGAGCCTTCAGCTCTGTGGGACAATGTGTATCAGAGGAATAAGATGGTGTATAATGAACACATCTGTGAGCCCACATTCCTCTGATCATTTCTTTTTCTTTGTTCTTATCGCCTCTTCTCCCCTCTCCCCCATCCTCATAATTATCCCCTCTCTATCTGCACATCCCTCCCTCTCACTTTGACTTTCATGTCTTTTTATTCCTCTCTCTTCTTTTCGCTCCCGTGTAGATCCTCCTCCAATCCCTCCGTGCCGTATCATTACTATGAGCCCTCGGGGCCCGACGAATGCTCCATGTACCTCTCCCATGAGAGGAGCCGACGAGGAAGCCACCACCGCTTTATCACCGAGAAGACAGTGTTTGCAAACTGGGCTCGAACCCTCAACATCCACTTTTACCAGCCTGACTGGAAGCCAGCTGCTGTCATCAGTGGCATGAACAGCTCCTACACTCTTGTTCCTGCTGGATCCTGAGATTCCCTCGTGAGACGATACCCAGAAGTGCACAATATGAGCGTGGATGTTTTTCAGCGTGCAGATTCTCGCTAGGGCTGACATGAATGTATGAGACAGCAGTAAGACAGAAACAAGCCTCTGTTGTGGCTCTTAGCCCTCCGCCTAAGCAGCTTGGCAGAATGGGATCATTGCATGAAAGCAGCACAAAGCCTCAACAATGTTGGGGAAGTATAACCGCAATAGGATGAATTTAATACTGGAATGAAACCAACAGCAGCTGGCTCAAGTGTGACTTTTAACACTTAGAGCTCTAAGAGACGAGTCACTGACAGTAAGTGCAATAAATGCGCACTGATTCATTGTTCTGTATTTAAACACAAGACAAATTCACTTAGGATTTAGAGGTTATGGCTGTAAAAATGTAAATAAGTCTATTGAAATGACTCTGGAACATTTTTTACTTTTCAATTAGATAGATGCATAGATTAGAACACTGTTTTCTAAAGACTGATTGTGATATGTTGAGAGCCACTATCCAACTTTTTTAAACATGTTGTTTATACATTCACATCTTGTTGACAGTTCCATTTTCATAATACAGACAACAAGGTCAAAACAGAGAGAAATAAGTGTATTCATACTGTTAATATATATAATAGAACAAACCAATCACATTGCAGAATGTCACTTAAATACGCAAACATGCAGCATGTTACATCAATGAATTGAAGAATGGAGGAACTAAGAAGACAAAGTTCAAGAGTGGCTAACTGGTGTACATGATAATATGTTGTTGGTATATTTTGTTTTTTACTGAATGATGTTCAAATGAAATGCAGTAGAGCTGGGCTTAAAGTGTGCATCAATAGTGTATTACATTGAATCTGGATCTGATGATTTCTTTAGCCAGCTGCAGCAATGAAATGTCATTATCATTCAAAACGTTTATTTAAGATGACTTTAACGACTTATCAATCATCAATCATTTACCACTGAAATATTGGTATAAACCCTTTTTCCAAAACCCCATACATTTAGTTTTCAAAGATGTAAAACAGAAAAAAACATGCAGCAACTGATTATCATTTCTTATCTGCATTATAGTAAATTCCTCATCGTATCATTTCAGTGCTGCTTTTGTTGCAGTATGAGATCTCCTAATGTGCAGCGATGATTTAAAGAGCTGCAGGAGCACAACATATGGTGTACTGCTGCTGATGACTGGTGATGTCGAATGTAGGACACATTGTGTCAGAACTTCATTTAAGGACACATTTTCCCCTGTAAAAGTGGCCCTAACTCATAATTATTTTTAGCACGAAAAAAATTGTAATTGGAGAAAAAGCTAGATTAAAGGAATCTATTCTACAGCTTGATTAAGGCTTTGACCAGCACTTAGTCCATCAGCTCGGGATAATTGAATGAACGAACATGAGAAACTAGAAGTCTGAAGTTCTTTGGTGATGAATCAGGTCATTTTGCTTTCTGATAACTTCAATCTTGGTGTTGGCTCGACCTGGAGATAATATGCATGTTTTTAATATGTGGTAAACATACATGAATCAATAGAAAAATGGGCAAGTGATCCCTCAAATCAGCAAGTTAAAGTCTGAAACATTTTCCCACCTTTTTTAAAACTGTAAAATTATGTTTTAAAGTGTAGTGATTCCACCTGATTTCATTGTGCATTCTTGAGACGACTTTACGATTAAATGAACATACTGTATATTAAATATTTTCTTCTATTGCTATTGAACAGATGGCCCCTCAGAAAGCCCATGTGTCAGATACTCTAGGCCATGATTTGTCCTCTTATTGATGCCAAATGCAATTAAAGCCAGAACCAGCCCTTAAAGGCTTTCCCAGCCAGTCCGCCACAGTAGTCCTGATACAAATGATTACATCAAAGTGTCCTGAGCGGCCTCTTCAATCGTGACCCACGGGCTTCAGTCTCAGCCTCTTCAGCATACAGAGGAGAGTTGGTTGTTAGCAAGGGATTAGACTGTGCTATCCAACCGTATCTCCAGGGTGATGGAAACAGCAAGACTTCTGCAGAATAAAAGAGGTCCCATCCGGCAAAAAAGAAACTGATTGCTGCCTGTTCCCTGTTTTCATTCTGATTTTACTGCGAGCGTCTGTACTCGGGTTGAATGTTAATGTTGGAATGCTCTCAGGTGCTCTGAGAAAAACCAGAGCAGTGCTGGGTGTCATGCTAAGTGCACTGGCTGCTCCTGAGATCTTCGCTGTGTGCTCTGCAAACCAATTTCTGCTGCTTCAGGTGGAAAGGTGGGATTTTAAAGGCTTCAAAGGACAAACAGGCTGCAAATAAGCCTTCTGTGGCTATTTAAAAATAGGCCTGCAGGGACATCATGATTTTCATCGACCTTGGAAACAAGAGGATGCAAACAATGAAACTTGGGGTGCTTGTAGTCAAAACAGTGTTGTAAAATTGAGCTCTATGGGCTGAGGACGTGTAAGAATATACTTTTATTGTGTAACTAACTGCATAAGTTGAATTTACAATGACCAAAACCAAAAGAAGACAAAAATATTCAGGGATGCACTTAAAGGCATGAGAATTACTTGAAATTAAATAAGCTACATCTCTATGGCAACATCAGGCCAGTGCTAGAAGCTGGATAGCCTAGCTTAGCTCGTCTTAGTAAATGACTTAGAAATGTGTACAGCAATTAAGCATATTGTGCACTACATTTATTTTTTTTATCATAAACAGATTCATTCATTTATTTGATATGTCTTACTTGACAGTTGAATTTTAAGGTAGCAGGACCCATTTTAGTGATCTGCAGCCTGAGGCGGATCCAGACTTTTGTTCCTGGGGAGGCCATGGGGCACCGACTGATGCATAGATAGCAGCCTGTTGCGACACACAGCCCTCATAGTTTATTTTAACACAAGTCCAATCTTGACAAGGTCAAACAAAGTTTAGGGTTTTGGGGTTGTCCCTGGGATGGCAAATCTGAATTCAAGGGTGGCTCAAGTTGCCCCTGGCCACCCCCGGGATCCACTCCTGATTGGATCGGAGACTAAAATGTTAAAGCTTAATAAAAAAACAACAATAAATTGTATTTCTTATGGAGAATACATTTTGTCCTGATTTCTAATCTCTCACTCTCCATTAGCAGTGTCACAGTCTCATATTGGAGTCATTTCTAGACATGATTTGGCTGTGACACCTCTGTAAATATAGCAGAAGCATAAACTCACACGTTCATCTAGCTGTGGCTAACCAGAGCATGTGAACCAGCCTGACTTACAGACTTACAGATCCATCCTGTTCTTCATAACAGGTTTCAAGCCTTACCAACAAGCTGCCAAAATACAATCATCCTATAAAGTAGAAGTGATTCAGAAAAAAAAACATTTCTTTATCAGCTTTCTGCTTCATAAGAATTAACAATTATTAAGTCAAGTCCTTTACATTTTCAGAATCAAATCAACCTTCCCCTAATCATGCATACAGGCGGATGTTTCACATATCTGTGCTGACACCTGGTGGCCACATGTGTCTCTGCATTTCTGCAGCTCCATAACTTGAAGCCCCCTATCAAATATAGCTGTCTTGATGCATTTTTTGTGTGTGTTGGAAAGTGTAACATAAGTTAGGTGTTCAACAGTAATAATGGGTAATAATTGCTCAGGTCTCTCTAGTGTAGAGAATGAGACCCGCGTCTCAGTGAGACCTCTCTAAATACAGATTTAAAAATAAATACATGGTAAAAATAAATGGTTCAAGGCTATCCTTTGGTCCTGAGAAGTTAAAAGTGGTTTCTTTGTCTGACCTGTTTGATGGATAAAGATGACTTCATAAAATAAACTAAAACACAACACAACAGCTGACAAACATTGACTACAAAACTGTATCATTGCTACAATCATTTTCATTAAGTTTGCACTTATTCAGTATTTCTTGCAAAGACCTGTAAACAATTGAATCTGTTTCCATTGGTAACAATCACATTTGAGGCTCCTATGTGTGGGATTGGATATTGAAACTCTGTTCTGAAGTCAAACAATCTCAAAACATCAACAGATTAAACTAAAACCTCAAGCCCACGGGTTAAGATCGGTGTACAAAGAACACATTTAAAATTCAATAACATCAAGCAAGCCAAATACTTTTGAACTGCCTGTTTTTAAAGAGTGTCTCTTAAAATAAAGATGAAAGCCTTCAGTTTGGTAATAAACACATATTTCATAGGCCAAGTACAGAACATTAAGGCAACCCTGCATGGTTAAGATCACTTTCAGTACAAATATTTCTGCACTTTAATGCTTTTAACTGAATTGATATTCAATCATTCTGTGCATCATAAACTTTATTTTATTTCTTTGAATTTTGTTCTTCTGGGAGGATTACATTTCTAGTTTTAATATCTGGATGAACCCTCTTTAAAGGTTTTTAATGCAGGGTTTTTTTTTTTAACGAGATGCTCCTGCAGTGGTCAATATGAACCTTGTTACAAAGTACACAACTTTAAGTAACAATTCTAAAACTGTAGTATGTACTTTAATGTTCTTCCAAGACTTAAACAAGTTTTAGACAAGTTGTGCAAGTGTCAGACTTTGAGATGTCTGAGATCGTTTCACCTTAAAGCAAAAAGCTGAAGAAACAACAACACACATTTTAGTTCACTCCCTCTTGCAGCCATCTGCTTTGTTTGCAACATGCTTTTCAGATTTGCACAATCTGCAGAGCTGTCAGCAATGTTTTTACTTTCCATCAATAACTTTAGGTAAGACTGTGCCTAGACTCCATGGCAACAGTGTATTGTGTAGTGTGTTTCTATGGTGCTCTTCACTTAGTACAGCTGTAAGTCTCATGCTGGATCAGCATGTTTGTTTTTCTCGGAGGGTCATAATGTTCTCTGCAATCACTGAACATGACTGTCCTGCAGGCTTTCATAAAAGTATTCCTGCAAACTGATTTCCATTGTTTAAACCAACAACCTTCCAGGGAAAGCCTATAACTCAATGATTCACACTTAATAATTAGTAACAATAACACAAGAATTCTCAGAGATGGGTTTTTGTTTCCCTGAACCTGATAAACCTCATTGTTTGCTATTACTGACCGTTTGCTTTTTGTCTGTGTTGACTTTCTCTTTCAGATGATTGCATAAAGTTAATGAGACTGATTGTACATTGTAAAAATAAATATTTTGTCAAATTCTTTGAAGAATCATCTTCAGATGGCAGAGAAAGACAGGCAGCATTACTTCTTTGACAACTTTAAGCAATGCCATAAACATGCTGTCTTGAAATCGTGACCTGTTGGGGGTCAACCTCTTTGGTCTAAAATCAAAGCTCCATAAGCTTCAGTCAGGAAGTGAATTTATTAGCATGCAGTTATATTTCTCGTGCTTCTCTGCATTCACTTAAATCAGGCATGCTTTCTCCTCGTGTTCCTATGCTTATTTTCCGCACGTTTTTTCACATTTGATCCTAAAAGGTCATGACATTTGCCACCGTCTGATTGATCTGATTTAAAAACACCTGCAGCAGGTGTTTTTATTTCTCTTGACTGCCTGCTGTCATCAGTTGTCCCTTTTTGGTTTGACAAACTTCACTGACACATTTTGCAGCTTTGCTGGAACCAGCTCTACATCACCATAAATATCCAAAATGAGAGAAATCTTTGGGTCAGTGTGACAGACAGAGACATGATGGGAGAGTGAGATCTGAAGAGGGGCACTTTTGTTATTTATGAATCTTGGCTCAGGAGTGTTTTCATGAACAGGTGGAGGAAGCGACAGTGCTGCTGGCAGAAAGCCTGCATTATGGGTTATTTTCTCATCTCGATAAAACTACTTGCAGCATCCATCTGAACCCCACCGACGCAGTCAGTCTATTACGCGGCCTCATTTGATACAACCAACAAAAGAATGTGATTGCACTGCCATGCCTTTGATTTGCCTTGCATTGTCACAAGCACTGAGCTGCCGGCCATTACAGCATGCAGTAGACGCTGTGTGACACCACAATGAAGGTGTAATGTCACCTAGGAGAAGATTTCATCCTGTGTCACCTTGCCAGATCATTAAAAACCATTCGGCTACATGCGTAAACTCAGAGGAAGGTTTCATTATCATAGTGAGAGGACGAGATAATCTGTTTTGTATAAAAAGAAAAGACATCTTTTCATTTATCAATTCATTGTGATTTTTCATCTATCCCTTCCTGGACTCCTTTAGTTGCTGTCAGGAACTGATGAATAGATATAATTTAGTCTATATTGTATTTCTTTTATTCAGTTATGTTTGGCAAATAGAAAATATAATTTTTTATTAAAAATGTAATGGAGAGACTATTTTTGAGCCAATTAGACAACAACCATTTTGTCATTGTCACCATGTCTTTGTGACATAGGGTCACAAACATCAGCTCTAAAATTAACGGCAAAACACGAAGATGTATTTCAGAGTTTGATAATAATACCCCAAAGTGAAGGTGGGAAATGCTGTCATATCCTGCTAATGCAGAAGCACCGAGTGTGAAAAAGGACAACAGGAATAGAATGATTATGACAGCAACAGAGTATAACTACAAGGATCTTATTGCATGGACTAAGCTCAGTATCTGTACAAATCTTGCCCTTACCATAATTTTTAATGAAGTGATATTTGCTTTGAGCTGGTGCGAGACCCACAGGTCATCTGACTCAGATGCTGGGCACCGAGGCTTGTATTAAGGAACTGTTTTGTTAGGTTTTTCCACTTTGCTGACGTCAGAAGACAATCTCAGTCAATACACTGACCTCAGAGTCTTCGGGCATGATAAGCATTATTGGGTTTTAGTACTTTACCAGAGATTATTAGTATAAATGTTGAAGTAGCTCAAATTGGCTTTCAAAAACACACATTTGGAAAATGTTTTGTGACAAGGCTTCTTTTTTGAGCTGATTTAATTGGTTTAGAAAGACTTAATTTTGCCTCCAAGCCCCAAAGTCGTAACAGGTCTCAGATCTCTTTTAAGATCTCAGGGAGTCCTAATGAAGCTTAGAGGAAGTTAATAAGGAAGTCCTCTTTCGCTCACCCCCAAGTTCACTCAGCTGACTGTGTTTACTTTTTTCGTCAAACAATAAGATCATGCCACCAAATCTGTAAGTCAAACTGTCAAATTTAAAGAATATTTGTTTCTGTTGTGGTCACTAATCATTTCAGTGTCATATTGTTTTAAAAAGCACAGTTGTTTTCAGCCAGCCATGAAATCTAACCAGAGTTAGGAGAATATTGTTTTGAACCACCGCCCAGCTATGTGTTCTCTCCAAGCCAAGACTTGGTGTTGCAATAAAATATTTTGCATTTGTTCTCACACTGACTGACACATTTTCTTTAGATCACATGATAGCTTTCCATTGCTAAAGGCACAGAACTGCAGAATCATTTGGTCTGGTAGTATGTTGATGGTTAGTGCTTAAGTTCTGGATAAGTTCACATAATTTTTCTATTTAATAGATGCTACAAAGTTAAATGTAAAGATGGAGTCAATCAGCACAGGAATTATAGAAAAGCAAAAACAAAAGACAACTTTGCAAAGTTACAACACTATAGGTGCATATTGCATCTCTTCAATTTTATAAAGTGTCACAGATCGGGAAAACCAAGAGGAGGACGCAGATGCAGAATCAACAAAAGTCAAACAAACACTCACTTTCCAAAAACCCAAACAGGAGAAAACAAGGAGCCAAGGGTAAACCGACACCTACAAACACATACAATGAACTGACACAGAAGGGAAGAAACACAGAGACTAAATAGACATGGGGTAATCAAACACAAGCGAGACTAATAACACAGGTGAAGACAATGAGGGCAATCACAATGGAGGGAAACACACAGAGGAAGGAATGGACACAAGAAACACTGAAGACACACAGAACTCAAGAATAAACAAACCCCACTAGAACATAGAGAAACACTAAACACTGAAAATACAAAACTAAATAATACCGAATCATGACATAAAGTGTCTTATAACAATGCATTTTGATGTATACTTGTGGTATTCTCTTCTTCTTTTTCAAAGAAACATAGACCAGAACAAACAAAACGATAAGAGCTAAGTGAAATAGAGATGCGATTTTTTAATCTGACATACTAGCCTGCAAAAATTAATTCAGACACAAATGCACAGCTCCTAGCACAATGTTTGGATTCAAATTGTCCATAAATTCAAAACCTAACAGTCAAAGACCATTACAGTCATGCGTAATTTCAAGAATGCCATGCGTATTTCGGTTTATTAGTGGGCTAAATATTGACACAAGAGCAGACTTGTGCAGATGTTTGCAGATGGCGACAAATGTGAACATCAGGTAAGGTGTGTTTGAGTTTGAACAGAGACCTCGTAGGCTGAAGCTCTGCTGCCTTCACTGACTCGACTCCAGCGGAGCGCAGACGGAACCAGTTGCACAAGTTGCCTCGACAGGAATATTGAGGAGATCCGTTTCGGCGATGTTCATCATTTACTGCCTTGCTGAAAGGACTTGTATTTGTCTTATTCATTAGCCTTTCCATGAAGACAGAGTGGAAATACCGTTAACTTATGGCGTGGTGTGTGAGAGAAGAACAAATGTGAGGTAAGAAATGGTACCTTTTAACGAGTCCCGAGCGATATTAAAAGTTACTAGCATGTGAATGCGCAACATAAAAAAAAAAAAAAGACAACTTACAGTATTGCTTTATCAACCGCTTTATCTATTCAGTGCTGTTGTATCCTGACTTGAATAAGCATCACTACTTCTGGTACATTTAACTACGTAGCAAATTTTTACGCATGGTCGCACCCAATACTGCACGTGTTGCTATCTGTGTAGTAAATGTTGTAAACACTGAAATTTAAAGCCAAACTATTTTAATTCAAATTAGTGAATCCACACAGAAAGTTTGGGCAGAAGTTAACAATAAAAGCTCTCACCACACTAACTTTTGTAACGATATTTGTTCACCTCTTAAGTGTTGAGTTTTTTTTGTTGGTATAAATGAATCATATCCTCATTCCACCTTCCATCCTCCTCCAGATTTCATTCCCACCATGTCAGCAAATGGGAGCTCAGAAACAGGCTGCAGGTCAGAGATCAGACCAACCAACACCACCTGCAGCCAGAAGGAGCTGTCTGTCACCACCTCTATCATCTCCATGACTGTGGGCATCTTGTCCAACAGCCTCGCCCTCTTCATCCTCATCAAATCCTATAAGCGCATCCGGATCAAGTCAAAGGCATCCTTCCTGCTGTTCGCCAGCAGTTTGGTGGTCACAGACCTGCTGGGTCACCTCATCAACGGCTCCCTGGTGCTGTATGTGTATGGCTCCCACAAGCAATGGGAGACGTTTGACCCTCATCGCATTGTGTGCAGTGTGTTTGGGGCGTGCATGGTGTTCTTTGGCCTGAGCCCCTTGTTCCTGGGGAGTGCTATGGCTGTGGAGCGCTGCATCGGAGTCACCAGGCCTATCTTCCACTCCACAGCATTAGCTTCTCACCACATGAAAATGCTGCTGGGACTCACCTGGCTGCTGGCTGCGCTGGTTGCTCTGCTGCCTGTGGTTTTGTGGAGGCCCTATAAGATTCAGAGCTCCAGAAGCTGGTGTTTCTTCCACATGGAGGAGCTCAAAGACTGGCTGGATGTGCTCCTGCCTCTGCTCTTTTCCATGCTGGGGCTGCTGGCTCTGCTGCTCTCCATCGTGTGCAACACTCTGACCAGCTTTGCGCTGCTGCTGGCCAGACTTAGACGCAAACATCACTGCAGAGGCCCATCCTACCACATAGAGATGATCTGCCAGCTGCTGGCTATCATGTTAGTGTCCTGTGTGTGCTGGGTCCCTTTACTGGTAAGTCTAGTCCTTTGTAGACCTTAAACCCTGCTTTTCGACTTTGAAAAAAAAAATCAAAGAGTACAGACTACATTGCAGGGGGCTGAGCTGAAAGTCCTTTGTTAATTCAAAAAAAGTTTACTGTTAAGTAGTTGCAATTTTTGTAGTTTTTCCATTTAACTTAAACTAGATATGATCCGAAATGAGAAATGTCTGCCCAATACATTCATACTACCAATTCTCCATAATACAAGATTAAAAATCATTTTAAAACTGATTGATTTTTAATGTGAAACTGCTTAATTCAATATGTTTACTGGTTAAACATGCGTATATTATTGAAGCTGTCTTCTTTTAAACTAGAGCCTTTTTCACATATGCACTCCTGAACATTTCTTCAAATTTCAGGACAGTCTGCCCTCAAATCTACCTGATTTGCATATTCCCATTTTAACTTCACAGCAGGAAAACTTACCGTGTGTGCTGTTTTTCTCTCTATCTTTCTTTCTTTACAAAAATAATGTTTTTATGTCGGAGGTATGAACAATTACGTTCACTAAAGGTGTATTCAATGAAAATTGATACCCGATACTAAATACCTGAGTCCCCAAAGAAGGGGTATCAATACTGGTATTGGTTCCAGAACATTTATTTTATGTATACTCCCATATGCCAAAAATGTTCTTATATTCAAAGCACATCTTCTTACTAATGCCTTTCTGGGTTTTGTACGTGACAAAACAAAGTGACAAACTGTTAGAGACATGGAAATTGGTTTTGAAATGAGACAGAAAGTAGGCAGGTTTTATTATCTATGACATGAAAGCATTACGCTAGAAAATATTCTTCTTTTTAGGGTCCTTGTGCCATTGTATTTCATTTTGAATCTGTCCATCCCTCACATTCTTTCTGCTACGGCTCTAATCAATTTATTTTCGATTTAAGACTGAAATACTTCAAGAGTTACCTATTTGACCTTTCCTCTAAATTCCATCAAATCTACAGTAATGTCTCTGATCGCTCTCCTACACACCCCACTGTCTTACAAAACACACACACTCCTGACAAAGCAGACATTTCTCTCCCTCTCCTGTTCATTAAACAAGCTCTGTACAACACACCCCCTTCAGACCTTTAATTACCAATATACAATGTCATCCACACCATCTCTGCCTACTGGATGTGTTTATGGAGACGAGCTGAGCAGCAACCATCACTCCTGCTGACCTATAGAGCAAAATAATGATCTTATCTCTCATGTAAATGAATGAAAACATGATCGCTGCTTTAGAGACTTTTTTGCTTCTGCTTCAAGTGAAGCATTGGCATGTCCTATCATGTTATGAATTATAATATTGCTTGTTAGTTATCATGTGAATTGGTATTTGCATATAATATCTTGCCAGATTTGTGTTGAATCATACCCTGTACAACAGATACTGTATGCAGAATTTTCTCTCAAATGAAAATCTCATGTACTCCTGAAAATTTCAGGACAGCTTCCATCTGAAATCTTCCTGAATTGTTTATTTACACAAGTCCCTCATAGCAAGAAGTTTTTCTTGGCAGGGGTGGGGGGTCTCAGGAGGCAAGACATGGCTTAAAAAGGCTCTGTGGAAATCCAAGATAGCAGATATAGTCCAACGCTATAGCTGTGCCTGAATTCAGGGACAGAAGGACCCAGCCTTTGTAGCCCGTATTACCCGCCAACTCATTTAAAATTGGCACACATTGAATTGCGGGATATGATAAGCCATGAAGGAGTCACCTGATGGATTCTTAGTTGTTTGCCACATTAGAGGAGCTTTCAAAATGGGCCAGATTGTTAACGCTCCGCTGTGTCATATTCACTCTTCAAACACGTAAAGTACACAGCCCCTCAAATGGAACATAGCTTGTACTGAGAGTTTTTTGCCTTTATATCAATCCTACATGTAAATGGATGTATTCACAATATCATCAAATAAAAAAAGTGGATGAAGCTGCTTTATCACAGCACACAAGGAAGGATCACAAGAATAAGGAAAGTGAATTATTCATTAGGATGATGTATGATGCCCTTCTTACGTCTTTAAATGTGAGTTGTTAAATATATTATTTAAATTCTAATCCTTCATTATTTCAGTAAAGCCTGGCTCACACTGCAGGATAATCGGGCCGATTTGAGCTCAGATTCTTCCTTCCCGACAATCGCAGGGTCGCTCCCCACGCAAGGCTGCTCGGAACTGATTATCTGCTCACATTATCTTGTAGTGTGAGCGGTTCAAAAATCCAATCTTAGATCGGGGACGCCCCGATTTATTTCAAACATGTTTGATATTAAGAATGTAAAATCTTGACGATTACGTCATGAAAGGGTCCGGCAGAAGTTGTGTGTGACTACAATATAATCAAGGGAGACAAGGGGAGGAATGTAGTCATGGCAACCAGCGGCAGGATGCAACTAGGTGTTTTTTTTTTTTTTTTTTTTTTTTCTGAAACTTGTATCCATATATCTACGATTGTATCTACTTTCATATATCCTACAACAACTTTCACTTCCTTCTCTTTCACCATCCGCCGTCCTTTGGAGTTTTTAAATGAAACTTTATTAACAACTGTCAACGCTCCGTCACGATTTCACTCGTACAGTGTGAGCTCTCAGGCCGTGTCCGACAATCAGGTCGTACAGTGTGAGCACATAAATCTCAAGGTCTGGTTGGGCGTCGTAAAACGATCCAGTCGTACAGTGTGAGCTGACATGCCACCTCGACTTTTATACAATCGGGGATAAATTGACAGTGGGAGCCAGGCTTCACACACTTCTGGCTCTGTATGAGATCTGATCATTTCATACAGGAATAAAATGCTGCAGAGGGGTTCAGAAAGTTTTTTGTTTTTTTTACATTATTACTGCTTTATTATATGCACGATGGTCGCACCTATCACCCACTGGTTGCAGAATAAATAAATGTCTTCACCTCCGCCTGCTTGTGCACAGTGTATTGTCCTGAATATTATCTGCTGCATATAGGCTATACATTGCTCACTAAGACTTGTCAAAGAAATGTTACTCGGGGGCTGTCAGGAAAAAGTCTAGGTAAAGCAAGGGTAAAAAATGTGGCTATATGTCTTCTTTGAAATGGTTATGTAGTTGTTTCCATTATTTTTTTGACAAATGTGCAGATCCGTATCATCATCCTGAGCACCAGAGCCACAGACGAGCCTGTCTCCTTCAGCCTCCTCATGGTGGTACGTATGGCCACATGGAACCAGATTCTGGACCCCTGGGTCTACATCCTCCTGAGGAAGGCTGTTCTGAGGAAACTCTTCATGTTGTTTCACAGCTGCTTTGGCCCAAAGTCTCACGACCTTCACAGCTGGCAGCGCAGCGTGCTCCGCAGTTCAATGGAGACCAGCAACCTGGCTGCTGGTCCGTCTTATGGCCTCAGTAGATTGCCACTGCCGGACACCGCCATCAAATCCATCACCTGAGCCCTTACTCAGTGCGCTGAGCTAACATAACAGGAAGAAGCTGTAGAGATCTCAAACTTTGTTGGACTACATTTAAAGTTGTTGTATTTATCGCAATACACTCGTATGCCTTCCTGGGACTTCTGATGTTGAATAATTATTTTCAATATGGGATTAACTTCTGACTGTGTCTTGTGACTCTGTGAAGAATCTGTTTAAACAGTTCCCTGTGCTCCTCAAATATGTCATCCACAGTAGGAAAAGCCATGTCTTTATTGTTCTTTTTCTTTGGAAATATAAATGTCTTTGTTCTTATAAAAGTCCTTCCTGAAATGTTCATAAAACAGCACCGGCCCTGCTCTAAACTTCAATGTACTATTTTATACTGGCTGTTTTGATTTTCTTTCTTATTTTGTTACTCTTGTTACTGGGACAGGCCCTCGTCAGAAACGAGGAATGCAAAAAACAAATTGTGTTTTTGGCTTCAAATGTGGATTCTAAGTTGATGGAGTCATGCTTGTGATTTGAGCTAATACAGGTTATGTTACAAATCTGGATGTTAATGTGAACAGGTGCAGTATGTAATGGCTGTGCGGAACTCAATGTTAAAAATCAGAATGTGTCAGATTATATAATTGAGTCCATGACACCGTCTAAAGAAATTTTTAAGTCCTACCAACACACACTGTTTAGATAATTATAAAACAAGTAGGCCTACATCTCCACAGTTTAGTTCAATTCCCTTTTTATGAATGGCCTGCTTTTTTGTGTTCCTATGCATGTAAAATGCTGTCTATGAATAGAAAATCATGCTAGATTGTTTCTATACATTTAATTAAATACTGAAAAAAATGTTCTGAGACAGAACAGGGCCTGCCGATCAGTCAGCCTGCTTATGAACTGTCAAAGTAATGATCTGCACAAGTGCTGTTGTGTCATCTCCTCTTTAAATCTTTGCAATTTTTGAAATGCATATCAAAAGTGTTAAAGAAATCCAGAGTATAACAGAGCAAATTGATTTCTATTAAAAGATGGTCTGTCGTGATGGGCCAGGTTGTGTGTGATAGGGAAGAGTTATTAAAAAAGCCCTTCTGTTTCTATGACATCAGGAGCTTAGCAGCAGGACAATTAGAGACTTTTCAGTGTTCCATTTCAATAAATTATAATTACTTAATTTAAGTCAATTATATCAATTATAATTTAAAAAGTAGAAAGACAGTGACCTGTTATGTGCTGATAGAATCCTTGCTAATTACAGATCCTGCTGCTGCTCTGGGGGATTTAGCACGTTACGGCACACTGCTAACTCATCTTTGAGAGCTGTGCTCTATTAAGGACAAAATAATCACACAATGTGAAATGATATAGGCTACTAAAGGCTGAAACTGCCTGATTGTGTAAAAACAGAAAGTAAATATGAAAAACTAATAAATAAAAGTAGTAGCCTATGTTTTTGTTTTCAATAATGAAGTCTGCTTGGGGCGCTGGTGGCGCAGTGGTTAGAGCGCACGCCCCATGTATAGAGGCTGTAGTCCTCCAAGTGGGCGGCCCAGGTTCAAATCTGACCTGTGGCTCCTTTCCCGCATGTCATTCCCTACTCTCCTTCTCCCTGATTTCTGACTCTATCCACTGTCCTATCCGTCCAATAAAGGCACAAAAAGCCCCAAAATAAATCTTATTATTTTTTTATTATTAAAAAAAATGAAGTCTGCTTGAAAACAGAATAAAGAAGGGGAATTACTCATTGGGATAGCTTATTAAGCTCTTCTTACTTTTTTAAGTGTGAGTTTTTAAATGTATTGTTTAAATTCCAATCCATTATTATTTTTAGAAACACACTTCTGGTTCTGTAAGAGATATGCAAGTCTGAGTACAACTTGTTGTTACAGTTCATAAAGTGTCCTCTAGGTGGCAGCACAACAACATAACCCCTACATCTGATAAGAAGAAGAAGAAGAAAATTCCGTATGGCATGTGACGTAATCTCTTCCTCATAACCTCCATCTTTCAGCACCGCATGCCTCTGTGGATATTTGAGCAGGTTTGGGATGCTTAATGTCGTTTTTGTTCGCTGTGTGAGGTGTTTGTTGAGTGTTTGGTTGTTGTGTGTGTTCGCAGCAGAGCTGTTGGACTGAGCGGAGCTGTGACACGCTGTGTGTTCAGTCTGTAGGCCCAGTGTTGTGTTTTCATGTCTGCAGCTGCTAAACACTTACACAGCAGACTGTCTGCTGACAAGCTGAAACTAGTCTGGCTTACAATAACAACATCGGGATATAATTTCCCCTTTAATTTCTCTTCGTAATATATTTTTTATATTGGTTTAACATACTGATAAAACGCGTTTTAGCTTGCTGTCTTCTGGTCATGTAGTGTGTGTTGCAGCTCATGTTGCAGCTTAGTGGAAGAAGCTGTGTGCTCGCTGTTTAGCAATTCAAATCATTTTATTATTTGTTTTTGACTGTTAAAAATAAATTCTCATACTGTAGGTGACAACATGAATCAAGAGAAATTGGCAAAACTTCAAGCCCAGGTTCGGATAGGAGGAAAGGTAAGCTGACATAAAGGAAGTTGTGATGTTGTGATGTAAGGTGAGATTCACTTAAACATAAATTAATGTCATTTTGCTGTTTGAATTATGTAAAAAAAAAAAACTAACTATGATGATACCGATACGTAAATATATCTATTTCTTTTTTTTTTTTTTTTTACAATTGAAGTCTTACAACCTGTTAATACATTAAACCAATAATTGGTCATTATGCATTTGGAAGCTGTTTCAAGATTTGTTGTTTGGTTCTTACTTTTTTCTGACATATTTTGGATTAAACAAGGAAAATAAGGGAATAGGAAAAAAAAATAGGGGATATTTTATAATCAGTTTGTGAGGACTTAAGGTATTTATTTCAGTATGTCTTGGTTGCATTTTGATTCCTTTGTATTGCATTAAGATAAAAACAATATTTACAGCTAACTTCCTTGCTCTTTAGAAAATAAAGTGCCTGACCCACAAACACATTACTCTGGGAAATGCATAAAATAAAACTATCTGTAGGGTTTATGAAAACATATTTGTGGATTAAAAGAGGAGATGTAAACTTAACTTGGAGACCTGAAGTCTTTTGATTTGAGAGTTTGTTTTTCAAAAACTTAAATTCCCCTGAATAATTTTTATTTTTCCTCCTTATACTTTCTGATATTCTTGTAAATCATCTTCAGGAGTGACTTGAAGCTAGTTTAATCTCTACTGTTGTTTCAGGGATCTGCACGCAGGAAGAAGAAGGTTGTACACAGAACTGCAACTGCTGATGACAAAAAGCTGCAGAGCTCACTTAAGAAGTTGGCTGTCAACAATATTGCTGGAATTGAGGAGGTAAATTGGTATGGATCATCTGAAAAAAGAAACCCTGAATGTTATCGCCTTGTCTTTACATTAATATGATTTCTGTTAGTTTGTTAATGTGAACAGGAATGCATTCTTAAACGACTGGTCTGCTCTTTTCAGGTGAACATGATCAAGGATGACGGGACTGTGATCCACTTTAACAACCCCAAAGTTCAGGCCTCTCTGTCCGCCAACACCTTCGCCATTACGGGCCACGCTGAGACCAAGCAGCTGACAGAGATGCTCCCCGGTATCCTCAGTCAGCTGGGAGCGGACAGCCTCAGCAGCCTGCGCAAACTGGCGGAACAGTTCCCTCGGCAAGGTGAGTGAGCCTGACTGTCTAAGACCTCAGTCACTGTAAAAGACAAATTATATGACATATTGTTTGAGGATAAGACTTTATTTAAAGCTGCATTACACAGATTTACAGGTTTTGTTAAAAAGGTGAGAAGTAAATAACTGCAAATCTAAATAACACTGATTCAAAATATCACTTTTGCATGCAGCAGCACTTTAACATTTGCTACCACAGAGTAGATTTCCCAAGAACACAAAGTCAAAGTCAAAGTTTCACTGCTGAGAGTGAAAGAGTGTTCATTGTATAGATCACTCACTCCTAGTAGGGGAGTGATGTATGTAACTGACATCTTAAATGATTACATGACCAGATTTTTAAAAGCGTAGGACTTGAAGGTCATAGACAACAGGTGGAGGTGTTCAGAAAGAGTGCACTTATTCAATACGTCCTTAAAGGAGAGAAATATAGATGAGCTAGGTTTGTAATGACTTGGAGATGCAGGTAGATCTTGGAGGAAAACTCACATTCCAAAGGAAATGATGTGCACTAACCTGAGGCTGAGATAGTATATTTTACAGAATCAGTTTTTTTTTTTATTTTCTGTGTAGTAGGGTAGGTAGCATCAGCGTGGTCACTACCTGGAGTTAGCATGGTCAGGGTCTGGGTCTGTTGAAAATGGCACTGATGTTTGGGCTGTGATGGCCATGTAGTAAGAGGAGGTAAGATTAAAAAAAAGTTCTGCTCGTGGGTATGGTGGCAGTGAGAGCTGGCATGGAGAGAGGGTTGTCGGCGCTCATTGTCCAGTCTTCCTGAGGTCTCATGGAGCTAATTGGACGAAATACAGGTGTAAGGAGGTTCCCACTCAACAACCCCAGTGATGTCCTGTTGTGGTTGCCAATAGGGGCAATGTGGTAGGGTAGGTATCGCGTTGTCACTCCTGGTTAGCTCGCATAAACGGAGGTGGCAGTGCTGTCTTGGCTGTGATGGAAAAATATGGACCATGAGGTAGGCTCTGTCACTTATATGGCATAGAGGCATAATCAGGAAGCAGGGTTTCTTCACTAAGTGCTTTTCCTTTCATTAAAGCATTTCAGATATTACTGAAGAAAGATAAGTTCTTACAGCAACTCATTTGTCGTTCAGTCACTCAGGCTGAGTGCTGACGTATATATTCATATGTATCTTGCTTTGTGCAGGCTGTATGAAAAAAGAGTTACCTGTTGCTACATACCTACTATTAAGCACGTAACCCTTTCGTCATGATCAAATCTTATCTAGATACAAATATGTAATGCAGTGTTGACTTTTCTTTTAGTAACCTGCCTGTTATCAACCTTGGTTTATTTAAGAGCCCCCTTGTTGCCTTGAAATCCCTCCTCATGATGGACAGTCAGACATATGATATACTCTGTAAAGACTTGAAACAATTTTTATCATTTAAGGCTTTATTTTTTAAATATCTTCACTTGACCAGGCTGTGTTGTACTACTACGGATAGTGAGGTCAGAAAAGTCATTTATTATTCTGGACTCAGCACAACTTCCATATATATATGTTGTTGACTAATAGTGAAGTCTCAACCTGTGAACTTTAATGTCATCAAATACTCTATTAAGCATCTCATCAAGTAGAACGTCTCTCTGACTTTCCACCACAAGTCCATGGCTCCCTACTTAAGACGTAAAGTAAACTGTTGTCAGAAGGACACAGAAATACATAGTTAATAATAAAATAATGTATTGCATCGCTACTTAGCAAAGCTCTGTAGTATTAACTCAAATCCTACTAAAGCAAGAGTATTTGTTGAAGACCATTTTCCTTGGAGGCTTGTTATACTTTTGGTGCTTAGTTATTATTTACAGCAGCAGGATGGAGTTAGTGATGATGAAGTTTAACACCCACTTGTGTCAGTGGATCTTACTGATGTGATGTTTAATACTATTTGGACAACAATGGCGGGTGGCACAGTTAATCAAGATTAATGAGGGTTGGGGAATGGATGATGATTATTAAATATACAAATATATATATATATATATATATATATCTATATATATATATATAGATATAAATATTGCATATGGGTTTACATTTTTTCATAGCAACTTACTCGCTGCAAACCAAATCTACTTACAGGTACAAATAAGGTGACCTACAGCCAAGCATACATATCCTGTAATCTGTTTTATTTTAATTGTGTGTTTTATTTTCAGCTCTCGACAGCAAGGCACCTAAGGCAGAGGACATTGAGGAAGAGGATGATGATGTCCCAGGTAAAGGCTTTTACATGCATAAAAGTCAGACTGAAGTGTGTTTTATTTCCACACATATCTAGCAATTCACAGAACACTATCCTAGGATTTCTTCCCCTTTTTTAAATTGTTAACTTGTGCACAAAGTCTTTTTCATGGTTAAACAGTAAAAATACCAAGTAGAGTGTTGTTCCGTCTTCTGCTGTCCTCGAAATAAAAAACACAAGGAGATCCTTTGTTATTATTTTGGAGAGTAGAAGAGAAAACCATCCAAGACTGTTTTGTTCCCCAGAATGATTGACATGATGTTGTTTTTGTCCTTCAGATCTGGTGGAGAACTTTGATGAAGCGTCAAAGAACGAGGCCAACTGACACTAATGAAGTTCACCTGCACAGAGACTGGACTGCAATGAAATGAAAATCCTCTTCATTGTTTCTAAGTCATCCTGACATATCAAACACTATCTACTCAAACCAGAGACTTTTCTATTTTACCATGATGGCCCGTGGATGTCCCATCCGACTGACTTGTTCACTTATAAAAAAAAAGAAGAAAATAAATAAATAATGAAATACTCCCTGCTGGTAAATCCCTGCACCACATTGTCAGTCATGGTCAGGATAACTGTGGTCATTGAATCTAGTCTTACGACTTTTTTTTTGTTTATGAAACAAAATAAAGGTGATTAACATTTTTTACATGGTGCTGTGGTCATTGAGGACATTTTGTAAACACTGATGCTTTTCATACATACTGGTGATTCTTCTCTGCAGGTTGGCGTCTGCAAAAATGATCTTTTCATCAATGAAGCTGACTTGCTGAAACCACATGTGCTTTAGTGTGACCGGTTATTCACGCGTGCAGCCCTACCCTTCATATCTGGCATCGTAGCTCCGTCTTGTTGGCCTGTGCGCTGTCCTGCGGTCTGATAAGAAAGCAAACTGAGGAGGGACGTTTCTGCACACCTCTTGAGTTTCTTCAAAGAGCTGCAGAGAGACACACAGGGGAGGAGGGGGAGATCACGGGGAGAGGGGCTGGAGAGGCGAAATCATCCTATCCTCCTCAGGAAGCACTGCTGCTTGGAACAGTTTCCTCCTGCACTCAGATGTAACCGGATAAAATGCTGAAGTTCTTCTCTTCGCGGGATGACGAGAATGAAAGCCTTTTGGCAGCGATAACTGAGGGTGAGAATTGCATTGGGAGGGAGGCGGGGGGGGGATGCTTTACCACCTGCATGCATTGCCTGTGTGTTTCAGGATGATGATACTGCACGTATGTTTTTGGTACAGAGAACAGCTGATACAGCACTTCGCCGCGCGTATAACCCGTATCTATGAACGTGTGTGAGTGTGTATTGCGCACGTCATGTGTGAAGAGACAACTGCGCACATTGCACGCGCTGTTATCGGACAGTAAACACATCGCATCAGTCAAGTGTCCCATTTGGTCTGATGTAACTGGATGCGGACAGAGTGTCGCATTGCTGCCGGCCTCGGTGCCTTCGAGCGGATTAAACATTTGCACGTGTGTTGCATGCGTCACCATCCCGGGAAGCGATCCCTCCTGTCAGCCCAAGATCGGTGCAGCCCCTCCGCCGTTGTTGGGAAGCTTTGCTCTGTCGCCCGCAGTAAAACAACACGACCCGCCTTTATCTGTTAATGGTTTCTGTGATGGAGCTGCATTGCAGTTTTGGCAGGACGATTAGTTATTTAGCTTGTTTTTTTTTTTTTCGAATCGTACTTGATGTTATTCATCAAATATTCATTTTAATTGTGTGCCAGACCACACGACCATTGCAGCAAAACATTACCACTAGAACGCACTGGTTTGGCTACTGTAAGATTTCTGCTGCTTGTTTAAGTCGTATCTACTCATAAATCACTGGGTGCTATGGGTGCTACAGCCCAATGAACACACGTAGGACACATGAACTCGCCTTGCTTCCCGCGCTGGTAATGAACAGTGATGGTTATTACGTAACTCATGAAAAGGGGAGGGTTGTTAAAACTGTTTTTTGATAAATTCCTACATAATGAAATGAAATGATTGGATTATGAATGAATATCTGATTTCATTGAAGCACACATTCATTTATAGTTGGCTCTAATGAGATGATATTTATATTTAGAATTCAGCCTAATTGGATAACTTAGGTCCAGACTCAAATAGGCCTATGTAATGCTTTTAATCACCAGGCATGTGTTTTATAGCCTAGTATTGGGTCTGATATATCAAAAGGTAATGCTACCAGCAATGGAACAGCTGGGAAACAAAATCCTCCTGTTAATGTATGAACACTCAATATACAGAGCCAATTAAACACAGAACCAGTATCGAGCTTCTTTCTAGCAAACAAGATTCATGTGCTGCCAATTGCCTTTACAACTGCTATTGGTTTTTCATTCATTTGGTCCAGCAAACCTCCTCCTCTTTTCTATAGCCTATTTGTTCTCAGACCTGCTCAGACACACATCTCAAGGGCACCTGAGAGCTAATACTGCTTCAAGGGATGATGGGAAGTTATGTTCAGGATCATTTAATCAATGATCACAAATTGCTAAATGACCACTTTGCACATATGAAAGTGCAGCCTTCCCACCTAATGAGTCATTATTAATGAGCATGCATGTACTTTGTGCGGAGCAGATGAAGGAGACAATCCGTCTCTTCAGGACACCAAGCACCACTGGTTGAACAGACCGTGCCTGCTGGTGCTGAAAGATGGGGACGTATCCAAACCAGGGTTGGGATGTGGCCAAATACAACCAGAGTCTCCCTCGAAGACCCCATCAGATGCACCAGTGAGAAGCAGCTTTGGGACATGTGAGCAGAAACCATCAGAACATCTTGCCAACACTGCGTCTCCCTCCCAGCTAGAGGAAGGCAGCTGCACTGTGACCTCCATCTCCACATGGGGTGAGAGCTGTTTCGGGGAGCCTTCCTGTCCCTTGGTGCTGAGTCCTGCGGAAGCTGCATGGCCAGAAGAAGATGTGGAGGAGAAGGAGAAGGAGAAGAAGAGAAAGCCTCAAGTTCTCCCGTCTAAGGAGGACTCTGTGATCGAGGAGAAGGAGCTGGAAGAGAGCAGGCAGGAGCAGCAAGAGCAGTCCTGCAGCTCAGAGGTGACCACAGCATCCTCTGCTCTCTCTCAGGAGGAGACGCTCGGCAGGAGGTCCAAGGAGCTGCAGGGTCAGTTTAGGATGATCAAATCTGAGGGAGAAGATGAGACGGATAGCAACACTGGTGATGAGGGAGCAATGGGGGACTGTGCTGCCTCCCCTGTGGATCCTGACAACGAGTTACAGTCCAGCCCTGTTGGCATTCTGTCCAAAGATCGAGGCACCTTGCTCGGGGAGGTGGCTCCTGTGTGGATCCCTGATTCTCAGGCAGAGGTCTGCATGAAGTGTGGAGTCAAGTTTACGTTTACCAAGAGGAGGCACCACTGCCGTGCATGTGGGAAGGTAAGGTAAACATTTAATGTAAAAATTGTTTGATTAATTGTAGTTGACATGAGGTATCATATGTTTGTGTGTTTACAGGTTTTCTGCGCAGTTTGCTCCAACCTGAAGTTCAGACTCTTACATCTCGATGGAAAGGAGGGACGAGTTTGTGTTTCCTGTCACTCAGCTCTCATCAGAAGTAAGCAACAATTATTATTATTACTTTTCAAGTTTTCTTTTCTCTAGTTAAAATTCCTATGCATGACTCTGACATGTTCTCCTCAGGTACACCCCCAAGGGGGAAAAGAAAGGTGTGGTTTGCAGATGACATCCTCCCAAGTAAGCAGTCAGAGTCTGCTCCGACCACACCGACCAGAGGACCTACGTTTTCTCCACTAATGAGACGAGCGCTGGGGGGGGCAGTCAGAAGTCCTGTTAGTTCACCGCAGCTCAGGAGAGCCTCAAGGCCACGTGGGACTAATATCAATGTAGGATCAGCCAAAACATAACAGAGAACATAAGTAGAGTGGGAATAAAAACTAACTATACCTCGGGGTTTCTATGCATCTCTAAAATATCGGCTCGCTCTTCCTCTAGGAGGCGTGTGGTCCATACGGCTGGGGCACCACAGCTTTAGTGAGCAGCTCTGTCAACCTCATCCCCCTGAATGGCTTGCCGCCAATCCTCACCTCCACAGGGGTCAAAGGAGGTAAGGCACGTTCGAACACCGGATTGGTTTTCAAAGATTAAGCAAACTTACTATCTTTATACTTTGTTCCTGTTAGTGCAGATGTTGGTGTTTTCTGACCTTGTAATATGCTTTAACGATGCAAGACAAAGAAGAAATTCCAGCAAATTATGAATTACAAGGTTCAGGGGAAATTAGGATGTTTGATGTTTTAGTGAATTTAGTGGTGACATAAGGAGAAAGAAACTGAAGTCTCAAACTGATGTTGCAGCAGCAATTAAAAAATATAGCTGAATAACAAAAACAAATTACTACATTTAGCCTAGTCAGTTCTTAAAACATAGGTTAATTAGTGGCTCCTGCTGGAAGACTTGTATGTTTTTTAGATTTTTATCCTATCTTTGTTGAGCATGGGGATTCCTTGAAGGTACCTGATAAAATATCCATGATTAAAACCAAAATAATCTAAAGAATGTATAGTCCTCTGTCTGCATCCCATTGATGGGTTTGATCCTATTCTCAGATTTACTTACAACACCATACACTTATTGTTCACTATAAAGGAAATCAGCAGATGTACTTAGATATTCCCCATTTGTCTTTAAATATACAAGCTATGAACCCATAGCTTGAACCCATAGCTTGTGGACAGGGAGTTTTACATTTGACTTCTTGCTACTTAAAAGTCCATGTCCCTTTGTGTTACTGCACATAATAAGTGATACTTAATGTTTCTGGTGAATAAGAAAATTTGATCCAGTTTTTTTTTTGCTCCCCCTCAGATTACACTGTGGAGGAGCAGCCATCTGAGATGTTGCTTATCCAGGAGCTGGAGAGTGGCCGGCCCAAGCCCCTGGTGTTTGTTCTCAATGCCAACCTACTTGCAATGGTCAAGCTGGTCAACTGTAAGTTTCTGTTTTAAAAAAATATATATTCTAGGAACTTAAGAAAACTGTATATCCTTGATACAATACATAAAAAATGTACATATATAATATATAATACAGTAACATTCAAATATAGTCTTGCTGTGAACCTGTGAATGAATAAGCACTGCCTCAAAACATTTTGAAAAAATAAGCTGATTTACTGCTTTTATATTTTACGCTGCTCATACATTCATTTCCCCAGACTGCTCAAGTCTTTTATGAATTCATATTCTCTTTAAATATACATTTAAATGTAATTGCATTTTTTGGTCTGATATTGCAGATATCACTGCACTGTAAATCAACTGTCTCTTGCTATATTTCCAAAATCTATAAAATAAAGTGAAAACTTTCCTTTGCTTTCAAGGTTTTTAGGTTTAGTTTTCTGTTAATCTGATACAATTGGAGGAGACCTTCTTTTCATACAATATTTAGATTTTGTTTCTGTCCTTAAAGTATTGTATCATGGGAAGATCATCACAGCGTACAGAATGCAGATCACTGCACAAAACAAAACTAATCACAAACTTTGAATTCCTTATCTATTTAAGTTGCAAACATGAACATTAATCTTGTCCTGTGCTATAACTTTTTGAATGAGTAACCATGAAACATTCATCTGGACAAACTGGACTGCTATGTCAATCTCAGGTCGTACTAGATGCTTCTGTGGTTGATCCTTTTCAATACAACTATTGTATTGTTGTCATCATGTTGTCTGCCAAGACAGTACATATATTTTCTTTTCATGGTAATAAAAATAATGTTAAACGTCAAAACAACCTCAACCATGTGTGACACTTCTAGTTCTACCACTTGAAATTGAATCTTGCTTCCTTTTTTTAACGTAAGTAAAAAAGTATAATATTGGCAATTATTTACACACATTTTTCAAGTCTGACTTCTGATATGCCAGCACCACATTATAATTGATTGTTGTCTGGGCTAATTTACTTGAAATCACTTCTTCACAGCTCTGATACAGTAGTTGCCAGTGGCAGCTACAATGAATCCATGATGGAAAAAGTTTGATTTATGATTTTCTTAAAAAAGGGCTAATAAATTATGTTATCCAATTGGCCCAAAGACTGATGTACTCGCTGTTTGCGGTCCTGTCTTTTAGGTGATATCATAAGCATGTCCAGTACTGGATAATACAACCAACCACACCCATTGAACTTATCAAAATGAAGACATACAAACAGCCATGATTACCCGACACTATTTTACGCGAAGTCACGAAGTAAAAAAGAACAGCAACACAAAACACAAAACTCTAAGAGGCAGCAAGGCCAGCAGTCCTTCATGTGATGAGCATCTTTTTGAGCACTTTATTCTGTCTGTAATGTTCAGAAGCACTTCAATCACAGCAAGGTGCACACACTTGACAAATCTCTAGAGAGGAGGGACAGAAGGGACAAACAAAACCGATAACACAAACATTAGTAACTCTTCACAAAGGGACGACTAAGTGTTGTCCCTTCAGTTCAAATTGAATAAAACTATACAACGTTGTGAATCACTGAGGTTAAATGCAATGATTGTGTGACAGATGTGAACAGGAAATGCTGGTGTGTGACGACAAAGGGAATGCATGCTGTGGGCCAGGTGGAGGTGGTGGTGCTGCTGCAGTGCTTACCTGAAGAGAAAAGCTTCCCCAAAGACATTTTCAGCCACTTCATCCAGCTGTACAGGGACACACTCACAGGTCAGAGCCGCACAAACACCCACACCCACATGCACACAGACACATACGATTAGATGCTTACTTAAAGCCAACTTCAATAAGTTGTGTATCAGATGAAAATATACCCACTTATAGAAAACAGCCCACCTTCACCTCCCTCTAAGTGATATGTAATAATCCTGTCATTTCCTCTGTGTTTACTTAGGAAAAGTTGTGAAACACCTGTCGCTGTCCTTGTTTGGTAGTAGTTTCCTGGGAAGCCAGGAGCATGCAGGCTTCTTGTATGTTCGCTCCACTTTGCAGTCCCTTCAAGGTCTACCTCTGCCAAACCAGCCCTTCCTCTTTGGCCTGCTGGTCCATAGGGCAGAGGTAGCATGGGCCAAAGCCTTTCCTGTGCGCCTCGTGTTAAGATTGGGGGCCGAATACAGATGTAAGTCAGACACTTAAATGAAAAGCTGCATCTGTATTGCTACTGTACAGGGTTCCTCATCAGTGATTCACTTTCTTTTTTTCCCCCAGTTTACCCGTGTCCCCTGTACAGCGTGCGCTTAAGGAAACCTTTGTTTGGGGAAATAGGCCACACCATAATGAGACTGCTAGTTGTGAGTTTGACAGTTTGTGGCAGTTTTTGATCACAAAATCCAATTTTCCCATTTACACAGAAGAAATGTGCCATAGCATTTATCAAAACTTCCCTAAATTATGTGAAATGACGGCCCTCCTATCCTGTTTCAGGACTTTAGGAATTACCGTTACAGCCTTCCAATGGTGCCAGGACTCACTGTGGATCTGGAAGCTCAGAGGACCTGCATAAAGATACCCACAACTGGGTATAATGAGGTTAGCCCTTTCATACCCAAAGGTACAATTAGAAGTAATTATCACATTGTATTAACCTTTCCCTTTTTTCTTTGTTACCTAACCAAAGGATATTATGTCTGATTTCTTAACCTTGCCTCTTCTCAGCTCACTCACAGAGCCAGCAGTGTGCAACAACACAAGCTGATATTAGCTTAGAAATATCCATTCTTTTTTACCGACAGCAGACATGCCAAAACAATATTCCCCAAAACGTTTTATCCTCTGAAGTCTGTATGGCCAAACAGGAACGCAATGGACTACAGGTTTAACTAGGATCAACTTCTGCAGGGCCCTAAATGGATTTGCAAAACTTTTTTTGTTTGGTTTGCTAAAATTAGCTCTCTCAGCAATTAAGTCAAGCAGGCTGAATTAGTAAAATACTGTCTTGAGCGATTCCATCACTTAATTCATCCAGACTAATCTGCTGATCTTGCTGGTGAGTTGGCTTACTTGTGATTTACTTATTAGCAAATAGTGCACAATTATCAATTCCCGCTCCATCCCATGTAGGCCTATCTAATTTACAGCTAGCTAGCCAACCTTGAAATGCCTCTTGCCAATGGATATTTTAGCTGGCTAGCATCTTTAATTATTTACCAACTAATGGGATCCATACTAATTGTGAAAAAAGAAATATTGGTCTGTGTCGGAGTAACATAGAGTAACATAACTTAATACAACTGCTCACTTCACTGTTTTAGCCTTAGATGCTAGCTGGCCTACGTAAATATAGAAAGCAATAGACTGCTTCCTGTACTTCACCTCATGGCCACGTGTCAAATCAAACTTCTGGGAACTCTAAATAGGACCTTTATTTGCAGGTTTTAATTTTAATTTTTTATTAATCATCTTCCTTTTCTCTCTGCCCACATGTTTCATATTAGCTAATGAAGGCTTTGAATAAGTCCAATGAGCATGTGCTGGCCATCGGGGCGTGCTTCAACGAGACTGCAGACTCCCACCTCATCTGTGTGCAAGGAGAAGATGGCCAGTATCAGACACAAGCCATCAGCATCCACAATCAGCCACGCAAAGGTGGGCCATAAGGATACTGTGATGAACGTAAGACACCAGAATCTGGACTGAGTTCCTGACTGAAGAATATGGTCTCATTTTTACTATGAGTACTAACTTCAAATATAAAGGCTATACTTTGCCCTATTTGTCATTAGAAGCCTATTTTTTTTACATGCATCAACCAATTCTATTAATCTAAAAATGGTAATCCTTCATCCCATTTCATTGTATTAGGCTATAAATGCTGTAGTGTGTAGCAAGTTGACAGCGGTTTACTAGCTCCATACTTGTCCCTATACAAACAAACAGGAAATGAATTATGTTTCTGTAGCACATTTCAAGCACTTAAACCACTAGTTTGTACATAACCATGAAATTGTATTTATTAACCATTACATGTATTTTGCACGATGGAACAAAGACTTTTGTATAAACGCTGTTAAAGTTGTGATTTGATGTAGCCATAAGTAATGAAATCCTTGACTAAAACATGGCACTCAATGTATTTTAACAAGACCCAATTTAAAAGAAGGAAAGAGAGTTGAAGTTGCCACCTGGCTCAAACATAGTTACTTTCTCTAGTACAACACTAGATGGCACTAGATGCCAGAACGACAGTTTGTCTCTAAAGGTTTCTTTTCTTCCTTTCTCACAGTGACTGGATCATGCTTCTTTATATTCAGTAGTGCACTGAAAGCGTCTGCAGGATACCTTGCCAAGTCCAGCATTGTTGAAGGTAGGATGACCATGCAGAGTGAGGCAGGTTCACCATAACTTTTCCTGCCCTCTTGCAGGAAATTAATTGTTTACTTTTAAGTCGTGCATGTTAACCGCGTTGCTTCATAACTGGTTTATTCAGAATGTGTTGATCTTTTTATGTGTGTGTCTGTGTACATTTTAACAGACTGTTTGTCTAGGCGTGTGTACATGTTGATGCATGTGAGTGTGTGTGTGTGTGTGTGTGTGTTTCTCCTGTATCGCTGCCCCCTTTCCCCAGATGGGCTCATGGTTCAGATCACTGTGGAAACCATGGCGGAGCTCCGTCGGTCACTCCGGGAGAGGAAAGACTACACCGTCACCTGTGGGCGGCTTGACCAATCAGACAGCCAGGAGCTTGTTTGTGTACAGTGGGTGGAGGAGAAATGCACTGTAAATAAGGGGTGAGTTTGCCCGTTCACCTGTTTGATGTCAATGTTGCAGTTTAAAAAAAGAGAAGCTTTTGAGCACAAGGAGAACAATATAATGTATTTGAACCCTTACATGATCCTACCATTAGTACAATCACTCCAAAACACTGGAATCTAACATAAACAAAAACATTATGCAAACTGCTTTAGAATTCTTGTTTTATTCGTGATTTATATGCATTGCATGGACATGTGGAATTGTTTACCTCAGAGTTATAAGCCCCATCGATGGCAAATCCATGGAGTCCATCAGCAGTATAAAGATGTTCCAGAAGTCTGAGTATAAAGAAAACGGAAAGATCATCCGCTGGACTGAAGTACATATTACCATCTTCTTATGATATCAACACAAATCTATTTGAGTCCTCCTCCCTTTACGTTTCTATGTATGTTTTGTGAAGGTGTTCTTTCTGCAGAGAGCAGATCATCCCAAAGGAGATGCATTCGACTCTGCAGAGCACAACCGCTTAACGGAGCGGATTGCCCGGGCGTTTTGCCTGGCGCTGTGTCCACACCTCAAACTGCTGAAAGAGGACGGGATGGCTAAATTGGGGCTGCGCGTCGCTTTTGAATCTCAAGAGGTCAGAAAAGAAGTTTGGTGTTTGGTTAATAGTGATCTGAATCACATCAACACAGAGTGACCCATATATCAAGATATCAGATGTATTATTATGAATGAAATTATGAATTCTGCCCAAAAATTAAATGAAAAGTGAGCTAAGAGAGCCAATCTGTTAAGAAGTACATTTTTATCTTTCATATTGAAAAGTCTATCCAAAAGGCAGAGTGTAGTGTCTGCCATTTTTCAGTATAATGTTGTTCAATAGAAATGACAACAGGAAATTGGTGGATCTGAAATATGAGTCCAAATTACACATAACGTTTACCAACAAGTTCCTGGGTGTGACTCCATATAAAGTAATTAGTGGTTTCTTTGTAATTCCAGGTGGGATTTGTGGCAGGCAGCAATGGGCAGCCCCTCCCAGCTCAGTACCTCAACGCCCTGGATAGCGTGCTCATCCCCGTCATACACAGCAGGGGTCGCAAGAGAGGTGACGAGCCTATAGTGATGGAGTTTATCTTTTACATCCTGGAGAACATCACTTAGAGCGCAGAACACATGTATTTCATCTCTCTAACCCTGACCACAAATCTGACTCTGGCACTCTCCATCAAGTACTGCAAGTTCAGTTTCAGGGTCGATAAAAGCATTCAAAGGGCGAACCAGACTACATCTATGGTCTGCATCCATCACACCCATTCACAAGTAGAGAGAAGGGGTCTGGCTCTTTGTGGTTCTCTGATCTCACACTGCCCTGCAGTAGACAATCTGGGTACGCATGCCACCTAGGACACATCAGATCAGGGTACAGCATTGTACAGTAGTAGCAACTTTGTAGCTTCATATCATTCATTGTTCAATACACATGCCCATGAAGAAATAACCTTTAATATGGGTGCTGGATTCAGCCCCACAACCTTAATGCAAAGAGAAAAAGAGAATGACTTAAAGTCCTTTACGTAGTAGATCTGTAGCAATTTGATGCACACTGAATGAATGCCTAAAGAATGTTTTCTTACTGGAATCTATTTTAAAAGATTGCTCGTGAAATGTTATGTCAGCCTGGAATTAAACTTGCAACAATGACTAACGATCAATGTCCTGTTCATCAAAACTGGGTGCAACATCTAACCAAGCACAGCTTTGAGTACTACTATGTTTATTTATAAACACACATATCATTTTACTTAAAACTTGAGGTGATTTTTATGCAGAAATGTGTTCTTATGGTCGCTAATGGAGGAGTCGTGCTCACAATTTATTTGGCTATTGCATTTTAAGTTTCATTTATGGCTTGTAATACATCTACGACTGTTTACACCTCATTTTAAGCAGACATTCCCAACTCTTATGTTCTGTTCTAGTTTGGCTTCAGCAGTTATCATATTAAAACTGCATCAGGTGTTTAGAAATCCTTCAACCATATACAGACGGAATGAAAGAATACTTTTTGATAGAGTACTGATGAAAACATCAGCTCATTTCTGACCCTAATGAACCAGGGTGAATGGTAGGAGTCGTGAAGGCGTAGATCCAGTCTGCAGGATGCGCTCTCTCTGCCTCTCACGATGAATCTTTTCAAACAAAGCAGAATGGGGCTCTTGTTTACCTCCTACTTGCTCCGCATACTTTGGATGACAAAGACACAAGGCACAGGCAAGCAATGCAAATACTTTACCTCTTTTGTTGCAACACAGCACAATTTCAGTCTTCCCCCGACAACTACATAACTAAAGCTGCAACTTGCACACACAGTAGGCACTGTAGATACATACACACAACATTTACAAGATCATTTAAAATTGAATTTATTGGCATTTTAAAAACAAGTGAACAAAATTTAGAGTCTAAAGCATACTAATACAATTAGTTGTTTGCTGTAAAACTATTTACAAAAAGTATGTTCAGGTTTTATTTTCGGTCATCTGTCGACAGGGGGTTAGAGGGCCATGACGGTCAATTAAATGTGTTGCGTAATGTATACTGAACTAGGAGTTCGTGTGGAACATCAGTGAAGATAACATTCAGGGCTAAACATCTCCTCTTCATACATTGTGTTCTGTTCATGGTTCCCCAACTCAGAGGAATAAACAAAGCAACCAAATGCAGGACCCCTAACTGCGGAAGTCATCGACCATCTAATTCCCCCATGTTTTGCATATAATAATCTTTGGAATGGGTAGTAGGTTTAACAGCTTCACTGGGTCACACTTCTTGGGCGTTTCCTTCCAGATATTCTACGCCTTCTTCATCTTGCCAGTGTGAGCGCTGCCGTTCTCGTGGCGAGCTGAGCCGTTGGTGGCGCTGTTGTTGTTCTCAAGGTGTTTGTCGTTGGTGTAGACCGCTGTGCCGTTCTGACACGACTTCACATCCTGTTTAGGCAGGCGCTTACCCTTCACGTAAGCCTGGAACCAGAAGTTGGAGAAGAGGAAGAAGAAGAAGGTTCCGTAAATCCAGATGAGGGTGAGGATCGTAGGGAACTGGTAGTTGCAGCTGTCCATGAAGTAGTACTGGGTGGCGTGAAGGGAAATCAGGACAAACTGGGTCTGGTGGGAAGAAATCAAAAGTCAGCCAATGCATACTATAAATACATGTAGATGAATTTGTCTTACTGCTTTTATAGCAGAACCATTAACATCTGCATTCACAAAACCCTCTGGTAAGAGGTGTTTAAATCACAGAGCAAGGCTGTGAAAAAACTGCAATCAAGCTCCAACATGTGAGTTTATCTTGAAAGGAGAAATATGCAAGATATCTACTGAATGAAATCAGAAAACGACCTTACTATATCATAAAGGCATTAAGGAAACAAAGTGCGGGCTTCTCTGACAACAGTGCAGCAGCCAGTATGTCCTCCTAAGTTTGAAGGTCTGTATTTTTTTTGACCAGAGAAGGTTTTAAGCAACCCCCCACAGCAAAGCAACCTTGTTCACTAATTGTGCCTGACCTAAAAAGCCTCAGCATTTTTCTAATAAGCTCCAGGACCAGAAACGTGGTAAAACTAGGATAAATATTGGAGATGCTTCCTTTTTTCGAGAAATGGAGAGAGGTTAGAACGCAACAAAGTAGAGCTGGCTAACCTCTTACACATCGATTAAGGAGGGGGGCGGGTGGGACAGCTCTCTCCAATGTTATGAAGTACACGTTTTAAACGCTTTGTCAGAGTAACATATCGATCCTGGCAAAATAAAGAAAACAATAACACATGGAGTGTACGAACCAGCTGAATGGCAGTCATGTATTTCTTCCACCACAAAAACTTCTGGAAGCGTGGTCCAGCAGCAGAAAGGCCGTAGTAGAAATACATGATGATGTGGACGGTTGAGTTCACCATGGCATGGAAAGATCCCATTCCACCTGAGGAAATCATCAATAATATTAGGCAGAGTCAGATCAATGTGTCAAGGACCTTAAAGAAACATGTAGATTATGAAGGCTATAGGTTTTACCAAGAGAAAGTATTTTGATTATTTTCTCATGACTACACTGAATTAAGTGTTACACAAGTTCAGAGTGTGTGAATTATTATTATTCTATTTCATTGCAGCATAAAATGATATTCAAACCTTTTTTTAAATTAATATTGATGCTCAATAAAGACAGGTAGACAACACTTACACTCTCTACCTGGAACTGTTCCGAAATGTATCATGTTCTTCTCTTTGTGAAGTCATGACTGAAGACATGATGTTTACTCACCAGGAGCGAGGCAAATTCCCCACCACCAGGTCCAGGGCATGAATGAGTGGTGGAAGATGTGCAGGAACGTGATCTGGCCGTGCTTTTTCCTCAGCACAAAGAAGACCTGAGAGTACAAGGATATTGAACACTTACAGCACAGTCAATGACCAAAATTGAACACAAATCCTGTAAAAATATACTCCACTTACCGTGTCCATGAGCTCAATAATCTTGGAGAACCAGAAGAGCCAGGCTACTCGGACCATCTGGTCAGGAGAATTAAAAAGAGACTTGAGTTAAAAGGAGAAGTGAAGTTTCCAACAAAAGCACAGCAATCATTTCATGTTAATCAGGAAAATGTATGCGACATGCGGACTTACTCGTAGTGCTTCAGGGCTGTCAGACGTATCAACTGGATCACATCGCCAGGTATACGTTGTGGCCCATCCAGACATCAAAAACTAAACGACAAAATTTTGTCTATTCACTTTTGGACGTCACATTGTATTCACGTAAGTCACATGTAACAGCAGAACAAGTTGTCCTCCCATTATAAATGTCACTAAAACTACACACATTAAGCTATGCCTGTTGTTAAAGGCAGGGTTGGTAATTTTCTCCAGATACACTTTTGAAGATTTTGGTTAAAATAGTCTTTAGGTTCTGACAGACATTAATAACTCGCGTTCTCTGGAAAAGGAACAAAGAAAATTTCATCTGTAGCAGTTGTAAGCCTGTAAAAACTTTGACCAATGTCTGCCACGAGGTCCCAATCTGATGAACCAATCACGCCTCTCTGTCTCCCTGCTCGTTCTCTACCCTATGCATGCACGAGCCCACACTCAAAGCATGAGCTGGGGTCCGCTTCTGGACCAATGGCGCTTGTGCATGTAAGTGAGGGGCGTTGAGGGAGCACAGAGGGGAGGGGGTGGGTGCAGACACAGCACTGAGGGAATGCTACTTTCAAAATCATGCTAGTTTTCCAAAATTACCAACCCTGCCTTCAATATGCACTGCATGAAAAGTACATTACAAATGTAACTTGATATGACGGGGTCTTACTTCGTAGACGATGAACACTGACAATGCCACTAGCATTAAGTTGTATGCTATCATGGCTTCCTTAAGCTGAAAGGCCTTGCGTTTGGCCATTATGGAAGGTCCGAGGTACAGTACAAAGAAAAGGTAGCCTATTAATATTGCAGACATTGGAAAAGGATTGTGCATCAGTGGATACTGCGTCACCCGTTTATCTACAGAACCAGAAGGAGAGAAGAAATTAAAACAATGACCAAAAATATGGAGTGATCTCTTTACATTAAGTCAGGAGTGTCACTTACCCATCCCTGCCAAGAGGAAGTCATAGATATCCACGGCATGGGAGCCAATCTCTTTGATCTCCCGGACTATGTTTGCCATCTTGGATTGTTAACCAAGTATCTGGGAAAAGAAAACAACCCAACAAGCAAGTTAGTGTGGCTTCATCACACAGCAGCAAACCTTCCATCAATCCAATGACAGTAATTCAAAAAGTCTAATAGCTCTCAATTCCAGAAAACAAGAATTTGAGCGGTTCATATTTTGCTGAAAATAGATTTCTTATTCAGACTTTGTCTTCTCAGATGTGTGAAAAGGACTGTTCTCCCACATCCGTGTGTATGCATATTCATTTTATAACACCCTATGTTTGATCAAAGTGGATGGCTTTTCCAAGAGGTTGATGTTTCCAAAAACTGACATAAAAGAAAGAGTTTTCAGCTACAAGACTGGATTACATGACAACATTCAGTAAAGAAAAATAGAAAAACAAATGTCGCATTCATCGCTTGGGACTATCTGGTGATCTGGTCAACCAGGGAGGAGAAATTGAGACATTTCCCTATTCAGCAGGATTGAAATGCAATTACCGTGAGAGAGCGGCTCGTCCCTTACCAAACAAACACTCCCAACAAAAATCCCAAGATGCTTTGCCTCAGCTCCAACCACTCATCAGGCATGGCCTGATATCAGAGAGGAGGTGCTAAAGCAAACTGGGAGGGAATCCCTTATCCCACAGTGAGACAGCACACTACTTTACAAGACATAACACCAAAAGTGTGCCCGTTACACCCCCCGGCCTTCAAAAAAGTCATGGTGGAGGAACAACAAAGAAATGTATTCCTTCATGTTGTGTGGCAACCACATTTTTTATTTCCAGTGTCACTCCAATACTGTACAAACTAGTTCTTGTACTAATTGGTCGAGGTGAGAAATGTTTATCAGTGGGAGGTGCCACGACTTGTAGCATGCACACTGGAATGTTGCCATGGTTTTCAGATCTGCATTTTTGTGTCTACAAAGGCCTTTCATATTAACTGTTTGCTGTAAAGTGTATTGACAAAGTAGAGGACATGCAGGGTGCGGTCTCTAACACAACACTAGTCCCAGAGGCAGCTATTGTTTACTGTATGATCTGCAACGTTGTGAGTTTTCATCGCCTGAGGGCTAAAGAACAGCCCTCCTTAAGCCAATATAATTTAAAGCATTTCTTGCTGAGGAATGAAGGGCAGGAAGGAGTGGAGTTCGCCAAGGTGCTACGCAGAATATCTATATCATAAAGGAAGATATGCGTTTTACTTAATGAGTTAAATTTCAGTTCAAAGTTGTAAAAATCAAATTGTATGCCTCTTATCACAGGATGTCACACAGGATATAATACTTCAGTACATAAGGTATGGAACCCATGTTTCGAAGGTATTTTCTGTCTGCAATGGCATCACTGAATACTTGCCAAGCCAATGCATAAACAACCCTGTATCTTACATCATTGTAATACAAAAGCAAAACAAAATGTGTAGCCAACATTCCACAACCAAACAAGTAAACCCCTGATCTGCTTGTTTTAAACTCTTTAAAATTAAAGAAAAGAAGGAAAAACAAATTGACCCATATTAACTTTTACTTTTATGGAAAAGTGTTCTTATTATTTTGTGTATGCATTGTCTCCAAGTTCAAATGGACTCTGAGACACAGGTCTACAATGAGAACTGATTTTATCTCAAAGTAGATATTCTTCTACCCTTTGCAGACAGATATCTCCTACAGCTTGCTTGAGTTTCCCCCATGGTTACCCACAAGGTCGTGTCAACACCACTGTATCTTTTCTGGTCGATCTTTTTAAACTTCCAGGTGATCAAGTTCAGCATTCCACACCAATTTGTGACAGCTGCTCTCGGCAGTACTAACTCACTTCCTTCCGCAGACATGGTGAAATACAAACAAGCTTAAAACTTAAGTTTAGTCTTCTTGCAGGCCGCAGTGTTATCACCCAGAGTGCAAATGGTGCTGTATAACAGATCAGATACATTTCAATGAAGTCTTACGAAAAAAGCCAACGTGGTTTTTGAACCGCCGATGAGGCATTTGGGCAGGCGCCTCACAATTCAACAAGAGTATCATCATCATGTCTTTGGTGAAGAGTCTTGTTCTGAGGAAAAATGCTGAACAGTTAAATGGATCAGAGGATTACCTGATCATGTTAGTGGTAATATCCCAGGTATTATAACACAGTGGCCTTGCATTGTGTGGTGGCAGTTTGACCACATCACATAACTTGACTTTAGTTGGTAATATCAATTTAAAGGAGTGTATCCAAGTCCAATTCTCAATCATTTTGGTAATTCAACAACTTCCAATAGCTACGAGAAGTTTGTAACATCATTTGGAATATTCAATTTGTTGACAATACTTTATTGAGTCCTACATATAATATGTTGAATACACAGTAACATTGCAAATGTGATTATTCATGAATACAATATTTATTTTTTAAACAAAGGCCCTTTATATCTCCCAGTTTTGTGTTCAGACTTCTGTATGAAACATACAACATGTGACTCACTTTTTTGCGAATATTGAGCAATAATAAAATTCATTGTGCGAGTCAGGGGATAGTCTTATGATCATGTCATTACTATGGAGAAAAAATAAACAATATATCTGTTAATCCTCAGTCCCAGATGACTGTAGGAGTCCACAGAGAAATTAAAATGAATCCACCTCCAGTCCAGTTGAGTCGACCACAAACCCCGCTTTAAACTTGGAGAAAACCCCTTTACACAAAACCTCACTGCTCTGACACTTCTTTACCGTTTTTTCCATCTGGTTATCGGTCCTCAAACACTGTGGGGACGTCTGTCTGCTTCTAATCTTAACCAAATTAAAGGTTTATGTATTATCACACATTTATGACCCTTGTATAAATGTATCTCTTTGTTGCGCTATATCAGCTTCAGCAAAACTCAAAGCAATTTCACAAGAGAACAGCAACTTTCTCATGATTGTGTGAGGGGTCCAAATGTATCTGCTGCCATATTATTCCCATGAAAGAACGAAGCAATTAAGCTGTACACATATGACCGTTGAGAACGCCAGTCTAACCATACTCAACAAGTGTTCCCCGCTAAAGAGTTACAGAAGTTACCTACATCAGTCCATTCTTGTGACTTCACTAACATTTCTACTGAAACACTTTTCCCTCTTCTATTTTCCCACCATGAACGCCCATTCAATTTGAGGAAATACTGAAAGAGAGGCTGGTAAACATCAACCAAAAAGATTTTTAAAAAGGAAAGGGAAACATTTCCTGTGAGTGCCGTGTCAATGAATCACAGGGATTGAAGAAAAAAGGGAACTCACACTCACGAGGCAAAAGTTAATGATGAACAAACTAGAGCAAAGGGAAAAATAATTAGGAGAAGCCAGGGACCCGTTAGTCAAACACTCTGTATCAAGAGTCCTTTCTACGGAGGATACTTCATACAGAGTAGCATGAGTTTCTCAAAGAGCATAAGAACAGAAACATTCCCTGAGGAAATACAACAACAAAAACTAACTAACTAACTCCACAAAAGTTAGTTCACCTTCTACTTAAGATCGAGCAACTTACCTTCTCCACACTAAAAATTCCCCCTTAAATCATCAAATGCCAATGTGGATTCCTCTTCCACAACTTGGCAAAGCCTCTGTGTATTATATGGGAAGGCAGGCAGGAAGGGCTTGGGGCAGCAGCAAAAGGAAAAAGCAGCAGAGCAGAGAGGGAGACAGAGGGAGAGAGAGAGATGGGGAATGAGAAAGTAAACTGACAAAGTGTGACTGGTACTGTAGTGTTCCAAATCCCCGCCCTCCCTGACTCACACAGATGAATAATCAGCTCACAGAAGGAGAGGGGGGGGGAAGAGAGAGAGAGAGCGAGCAAGGAAGCAAGCGAGCAGTGTGTGTGAGCGAGCGAGCGGGTGCGAGAGTCAGAGTACAACTGAGGTGACAGAGACATGGCCCCAATTTCAACCCACACACACAAAAAAAAAAAAATCCTAAAAGTCTAAATGAGCCTAGCTCCCTTTCGACCGCCGCCCTCACTTTAAACAAGCTGCAGCTCCCCCCCTTTTTACTCTCCTGGCTACACCCACAATCCACTGAAACACACACACACATGCACATAACTGTGGAGTCCCTCTCTAAGTTTTCTCTAAGGGGTGGGCTGATAATATTATTCACTAGGAGCGGGCGAGAAATCAGTGGACACTCTGTTGTCATGAAGAGGCCATTGTTAAACATTTATTGGCTCTCTACCCGGCCGACACCCATTAAGAAAAATGTCTTTCCTTTTGCTGAAAGACGATCACTATTCCAGCTGAAACGCCTGAAAACAAGTCAGGAGCAGTTAAAGGGGCTATATGTAACTTTTTACGTGTATAAATCGTTTTTTTTAATCGCCCATTAACAAGTGAACGGTTATCTGATGTGAAAAAGTAGATGTTCACTGTCTATCTGTGTTGCCTGTATAAAAAGTTTCCTCGGGTCGTATTTTCCACAAAAGGAGTGAAGTGACATTTTATGCATGTTCTCAACGTCCTCCTCACTCCGCTCTGCTTACAGAGATCAACAGTACAAACTCATCACACACTCCCGCTACAGCCAGAGGCCGTCTTCCACACACTTCTATCCGCCCTACGAGCTCTCAAAGGCGGATAAACTCATCACACACTTTATAGCCTTCAAGAGAAAAATGGGATACCTGCATTAAAAGCAGCCATAAATGTTGATGTTTACTTAAGAGATGGAGATGGAGAGTAAATTTAACTGGCAGAAAAGATGATTGCTGCAACAGGAAGACATGACTCATTTGATAATGCTCAAAATTCTTCTAAATGTATTTTAAGGAGGGCTCACTCTACTGTGAAATCATTTACTCGCTGACACATGCAGGGTTCTATCAAAACAATCTAGTTACTTTATAGTGGGCGTTGCATTTAGAGACTACGGATCATTTCAGTCCTAAGCAGCACATGGCCACTACAGAAAGGAATGCATGGGGAAACCCTGTAGGAACTTATGCGAATTATTGAACAGGATTAGCTTCTTATTTCTTTTAGGTCAAGGCACAAATTTGTAAATCAATCTACAAGGCTGTCATTACTCTTGAGTAATACAGACATCAAATAGACTTCATGATCAAATCCTATTAAGTAAAATGCAAACAGGAATAACTAGCAGACTGCGATTGCTTTCAAAAGTTAAATAAATAATAGTTCAAATTTAAATTTTAAATTATAAACATCAGGCAGCCTTTGACAGTCACTCTCAAAAACATCTTCTGTCGCTTTGAGTCTTCTTGACCAGGCTCGTTTTACCCGTCACTCTGTCCCAGGAGGGGGTGTAGCACTCGGGCTCAACCCCTCCTCCAAATACCCTAACTCAACAGTCAAACACTAGATCACGCACTCTACAAAAAGGGTATACAGCAGCTGACAAGCCATCTAAAATATGGAAGTCATCTCGTCGGGTTTAACATCTCTTTGAGCTGTGCAGCAAAAGCAACAACAGAGATGGAAAGGAAATGCCAATTATGGTGGTTTACAAAACAACTGCTGATATCGTTAACTCCTCAAAGTGATTATTATTGCGACTGTCATTAAAAAAAAAAACTACAAGCGTGGCTGTAAATGTGAAGTATTTGACATTATAAAATTAGAGTACTGGAGAAAAAGGGAGCAAAAGTCAATGTTTCCGTCTCTTAAAGGCTTTATATGCGATTTTTTTGATCCAGCAGATGTCGCCCTTGAGCACCAGCATGAAACCAAATCAACTCGCAGTGCATTTCTGTGTTAGCATGCTAATGTTAGCGATCTTTACTATGCTCATATCTTCACACTGCATGTACATTTACCCAAAACGACCATGATCTAGAAACGCAGTTAAGCAGTGAGTACAGTATGTTATTCTTCTTTTCTCTAGTCCCTCAATTAAACAACTTTTATTCGCGAGGGGAGGAGTCGGCCAGCCGTCCGGGCGATGTAAACAAACTGAAGATAGGACTCCGAAAACTCGGAAAGCATCACAGACAGTGGGACTCTGGCGTTACACCCATTGTAGACAGTCATGACTCACAGAGTTATTTTCAGAGGATGTACTTGATTTCTATTATATTTAAGCGCACATAAAGCCTTCAAGGACCTTGAATAACAAAGTGAAAGAAAACAGAATTAAGTGGAGAAATAAGTGGAGGATCAATGAGACAGCATTGCACTATACTTATGTCACAAATGATGATTTGCAAGTTATGAGCTTGTTTTGAAAACAGCTTTAAAGACGTACAAAGGTGAGGTAAAAATCTAAAAGTCCAGACACACTGTAGTTGATACACCTATTTTCCGAGGAACAGTGCCAAACTAAACGGATCTGCCCTTTGTACCTTATAAATCAATTAATTACACTCCACCTTGAAATTAAATGTACAACAGCTACAGACAGTACATTTTATCACTCTGACTTCGCTCAAAGTTGAAAGCAGGCGTGACTCACAAAAACCTAATTATACTCAGTTCATCTAAACTCTTAATTACCTTTGAAGATCAGACAGTTTAATTCAATTGAGCTTGAAGGTGTAGATGCATAAGCATGTGTGGGCAGTGAGCACAAGTCTCACAGTATTTCAACCTTTATATCACACACCAGTGTGAGGAGTCCGACTTTGCACCTTGGCCTCATCACGGCACAAATCTCAGGACTGGCTGTTGCATGTAAAAACATTAGACTTTTCTTTTTAAAAGACGAGCAAGAAAATATTATATTATATTAAATGCTCTTGTATTGTAGACTTTATTGTCAGGGCATTACCTTCAAAAGTAAATAATTAGCGTTCCATGTAGATTCAAATCAAGCCTCTGTCTCCTTTCCCGCATGTCATTCCACATTCTTTATCTCCCTGATTTCAGACTCTATCCACTATCCAGTCTCTCTAATAAAAGGCATGAAAACATCCCCCAAATTAATCTAAAAAATAAACAAGTCCAGTTGAATTAAAATCAATAGATATTTACGACTAATGGTAGATCTCAAGTTATGGTGGTGTAAGCATTGTTCACCGTTAAAGCATTGTTGGTCAGCTTATGTTATTTTTAAAGCATTTATTGATAGCTCTTTCTGCGTTCTCAACTTTTAAGAACAAGTTTGTGAGAGTCGTGAACAGCAGCACCATGAACCTGAAAACAGAGTGGATGGCAAGCGGAACGAGATAATGTCAGCTAAATGCATACGAATCTCAAGTCCAAAAAAGTAGCACACATTCCAATCAAGCCAGCAGCATGACAAACTCAAGTCAAGACAGAACAAAAGGCATGAGTCAGCATGCTCTTCCTGTGCCCTGAGGTCAGCAGTCACCTGAAGCTTCAGGACCATTTCTGTCAAGATATACTATCTGACATAACTGTGATGATAGAAAAGGAGCTTAAATGAGATTCAAACACAAGCTGGTGTCATTCCACACAAGGACAACTTAATACAATCTGAACTGTTCTGCAGCTCTTCACCTGAAAGCACTTTGAGTATAGGATGAAAAAAACTGGATCAGTGAAACATGGTCTAATGTGTAGGTGTGCTCTGTGACATATAACATGTCCTGTACTGAACTGTGTAGGTTCTGTGGACATGAAAATTAAGACACAGTCATGGCTAAAACAGCAGGATAGATATATGTGGTGCAATATCAAAGTTTTATATATTTGGTAAAAGACAATTTCCTATAAAAGCAAACAGGACAATCAGCAACAGTTTGATTATTTCCATCTTTCATGTCTGTAACTGCTGTCAAGGGCTAGGTGTCAGACAAGACTATTCACAGCATGCTGAAGAAAGAGCGTTCATATATTTTTGTTTTACATTTTTCATGGCAGATATTCTCAATTAGTGATACACCTAACTGTTAAAATCAGCAGGGAAATATATTTGGGCAGAAACAACACTAGATAAACACGTACAGGAAAGAGATAACCACAAGGCAGCAAAGACCGACACAGACCCAAAGTTCCTCACCGCAGGAGCTTTAGGCCATTAGTGTCCTCATTGTCTTGGTTATTTTACAGCTTTAAATGAGTTGTTTTATAATTGTTACAACATGTGAATCAGATCTGTCATAGTTCTCAGAAACCTTAATGGACGTTATGTGAAAATCAGATTTTTTGAATACAATGGCAAACCCTTTATAGTACTGCTTATTACCAATAATAATATATTAATCATTTCATAAATTATTCATTCTTAACTGTGTTGATACCTTGTCAGAGTCAATTAGACACTTTTTAATATAAACAACAAATCTATGAACACATGATTAGTGATATGAGAAGAAAATGAAAACAGTTGACGAAATGAAACGCAAACTGAGCAAGATAAATCCATTGGCATGTCCACTGAAGAAAATAAACATGACAACAAATTCCTTAGGTGGCAATAACTTTACTACCCTTCGCCACCACAGGAATGTAGCAGAACTAGCCTCTGGATTGACATGCTTACACCATCTTCCCTGCCTTGTGTTTAGGTGAGGGTGGGTGTGAGTGAGTGTGAAGATGGTGGTGGGGGAGCGTTATTACCCCTACTTGCACCTTAACACTGGTCCTATTCTGTTTAAGCCCCTCCCTCTCTCTCGGTCACCTTTGAAGGCCTCAGCCACCTACGGCTCAGATTTCTGGAACTTTCCACACACAACAATGGAGGTTTGCATCCTTATAAATGAGCTCAACCTGGGGCAAAACGACTAAAAACGACTGCAGCTCAACAGGTGCAGGGAGCATGAGAGACTATAAAG